AAAGGGCCTTATAGAAACATATTTGCCTATTAATATATAGATATAGCTAATACTTGTCGTACCAATAAGGAGAATAAATAAGCAGACACAAGAAGGATCTTATTTAAGAAACATAATTTAATGTAGGCTATTCTAATAGCCAGTGAAATTTATTTGTGTAAACCTCACAAGAGAGATAATAGTAATAATAATCGAAAGTATATAGTAAAATTAGTGGGATTCTGTTAACTGCCGCAAACATTTTGTTCACCTTCGTACTGTAGTACTGGCTCATCCCTTGCTTTGCTGGATACGTTACACGCACAGATCTGTAGTCTTATGTGGACGGGCAAATGTTAAACATTTTTAACAGAGACCACACACCTCTTTGTTTCCCTAGTTGGAACACATAATTCTTCATCCAAACTCTATGGGCCTTGAGAGTCACTTAATTGTATACACAACATATGTAAGCAATATCAGTTGTGTGTTTTAGCTAATTTCCCATATAGGGAATAAGCTACAGTATTACCGTAGTACTCATGTAAGACCTGGACCCGGACCGAATTAATTTTCGTTTTGAGATCCCTAGAGGCCAAAAACACCATCCGTTCCTTTTTTGTTACATTTTTTAGACAAATTAAAATATGATATTATGGAGCTATTTATGTTGCAAGCGCTAATAAGTGGATGATACTTAAATAATTTGTAGAGAACAAATTGTCCAATTAATTTGTTTGTGGCGTCAAACCATATGTTTATGAGAGTGAGGAATCTGTAACCAATACTAACTAGTGTCCATTTTGCTCGAATTCGAGCAATTGCAAGGTACTGGTATTACAGAAATTATTTCAAAAACAATAACAGTAATATTTACAATGAGTTTAAAAGAGTCAACTCAAAGCTTACTGGTGTGTATCATATGGAGATACTCACGATGTACATAACAGTAATCAACATTTCCTAAAAATATATATAGTCGCATAAGGTTGTCCATGTTTATCTTCGTTATTGATAAACCTATGCATGCTACCACCCTTGTCGCCAGCAGTAAGTTTACAAATTTAATTCATTCTTTAATAAGGATAGAATCTGTTTTCATCACCATAAGGACTTCCTGTTGTCTGTCACAATTTTATTTGTTCAATTGGTGTATTTTTTGTTTAGTTGCAATAACGTTAATTGTATTTAACTGAGAAAATGCAAAGCTAAAGACCTTCTGTCGTTCAGTTGATTTTTGTTTCCCGTAGCATTATATGAATAATAATTAAAAGCCTTCAGTAAAATGTTAGTAAGGGGCTCTTGGATATTTTCATAGGCTATTATTAAAATTGTTTGACTTTTATGAAAACATAGATTAATGTCATTGACGTACCAGATTTATTTGGCTTTAGAGGGTTTTCCTCTGCAATGATCACAAAGTTAAGTCCATGTTTCCTAATAAAATTTGTAGCACTTCAGCTAACATCCTCGTTCATAGTTTGTAGGAATCTGAATCTTGTAGGTGTTCTTCATTATACAGGCTAATGACGATAGTTAATTCTTTAAAAAAATATTATCTCTATTTCTTCTACTAGGGGGCGTTCTATGACTTTTAATGTTTCAATAATTTGCAAATGGGTTCTTTCAATGATTTATTTTTTAAAGATCTAATTTTTGTAGGACGCTTTTCTTTGAAATGCAGCTTAAATATTGACAGCAATTAAATTATATAGCTGATCAAAATTTTAACAATTATGATCTTCATAAGGATAACATGGGAACCTTCAAAGCCACTGGGGTAGAGCCCAAGGGACTTTTTCAAATCCAGTTCAAGACCAGTTTGCAAATCTACGCGACACGCTCTTTCCAATGATACGTCAATGGATAAAATCGGTCAAGAAATGACGGAGGAGTTCAACCGACAAACTTCGTGTTCGCGTATTAATTATATAGATCTACGTATCACGTTTCGTTTAGCATACAGGCAGGAAATGTCGCTCATTACGAAAATATTTATTAATTCTTTTAATAATGACTCTAGAGAAGAGTTAGAAAATTAAAAGGTGTAGAACAATACAGCTAACAAAAGTGGACCTGTAACATTTGGTCATAACTTGAACCCATATGACATTATGGATCCTTTCATGTTCTGGAATTGATGGAGAGTTGCGTGGAGGGGCGAGCAGGGGCGTGTGGGACTTTTTTCCTATCCATACTGGCAACCTGCCTGCCGCTTACTTCGAATTGTCAATGTTACCAACATGACGTGGCTTCCGTGCCCCGTCTTCTAAACTGCCCGTTTAAAAAATGTAAATTTAAGTAAGAAAGGCCTATAAATATTAATAAAAATATAATATAATAAAAAAAAAAATATAAATATAAATATAAATTAAAATATAAATATTGCATATAAATACAACCAAATTAAATGTAAACGGTTATGGCAGTTTACCAAATAAAAATATAGGCATACTGCACATCAAACTTGAGCTTAGAATGTGCATATTTGCTGAATATTATAGGTACGGACTAATTTCTCAGGTCCCCATAGGCCGATTTCAACGGGCTACGTCTGTTATGCTTTCGCAGTTTGAATAATTTAATTCTGTTTATTTAATGAAAGAGCTGGGCAATGCAATTAATTGGCGTTTGTTTTATTTACTTGAAAAAATATGTTTTTGATGCTAGGAAATATGTTCAACTGGGGATTATGTTCGGACAAAAAAAGGTTGTACAAGTTTTGTAAGAGTATTGCTCACAGTTTTATTTGTAATGTATATAGTAATAACATATAAACAGGCATGACTCAAATTGAAGAAATGTCATAAAACATCTTATTGAATGAAACAGAAGCATTGATATCGAGGACCTTATTTGTGTTATTGCTACACTAAGGTATGTTGTCATAGTCTTTCGAACTGAAACATACGGTCTCGGTTATTGGCAGTCATAGGGGTAACGATGTTTCTTGCAACACAAAAATCATGAAAATATGTCAAAAGGTTATTGATTAGCATCGTGAAATAAATCACTCTGTGACGTTTTAATGTATAGTGTACATGTTGCTCGAAATCGAGCAATTGCAAAGAAGTCAAGTAGTTATTTTAAAACAAATAACTTATTTGTGAAGCTGGTGTACTATTGATTTAGGATACTGCTACTGCAAATAGACATTTAATTTATGAGAACCAGATGAAACATATATACTTTGAAGTAGACAATACATTTAATTGAACCAGACTTGTAATTGACTTTGAATAACGAAATTAGACATTTCATTCATTTGAAACAAAATATATACTAATGAGATTGGATACTGCAAGTATGCATTTCATTTACGAGAAACATATGTAACATTGACTTTAGAAAATTATTTGATTATTATGTCTGCTATCTGCACAGTATTGCAAGCAGACAACTGCATTGTACACCTAGTGTAAATTACCTGAAATGTAAAGTTAAAACTGTAAACGTTTCTCATCCAAAGTCCCCGTGCGATCCCTAGTGTTCACTTGGTAATACATGTGTATTACAAAGTATAGGGTGTTTTCAACTCCCCACGTGAGTGTTAACGTTTCGTAAAAAGTACGAGTTCCTGTATAAGGTAATGTTTTTTCTTTTTGCGAAAGACTCTAAAAGTAATGAAAGGACATTTTTTATTTACATTTATTTCGATAACAAACAAGTGTTTTTGACATATAAACAAATTTTTTTGCACAAAACTTGTGTGTATTACGATCCCCCCCCTAAAAACTGTTTTTTTAGTAGTACATTTTAGGAAAAAATAATACCTTTACCATTCACAGACATAATATAATCTTTTCAAAATTATATATTTTCCGGATAGTACATATGCTAGTTATTCAATATCAAACAGTTCAGGTGTTCAAAGTTTCAATGACAAAATACATATTTTTTAATACAACAAATGGTTTATATGCAAAAGTTGACCAAATACACACACAAATTGCAGTTGGTAAAAGAAATATATTATTTACATTGTATAACTTAAAATAAATAACTCTTTCATATTGGAAACAGTATACAGTAAAATAAACTTAAATAACAACAAAAAATGTTATTTACCAATTATTAGTGTTAATACAATTATAACAAATATGTAATAACGTGGTGTCAAAAACACCCCACGCGAGTACATACGTTAGTAAAACCCGCACGAGTAGTTAAAGGTTAAAGTCCCTTTAGCATAGAAGAAGTATAGCAATTAATTAATCTGTAAGTATATAACAAAATTACATAATCGTTTGACAGGCGACGGTAGGTATATAGATACAATAATGCGGCAACGGCTGCTGACAGTATTACAGCGGAGCGGACAGCGCAGGAACTTGTGGCGCTGACTGTACTACACATTCCACTTGGAGATATGAGACTCCACTCAACTTTTGGAGTTATGAGACTCTGGTTTAATTTTTACTTGGACTTATGAAACTTTGGAGTTATGATCACTTGGACTTATGAAACTTTGGAGTTATGATCACTTGCGCTTATATTTTTCTTGGAGTAATGAAATTATCCCTTTTCGGGTACTTGTAGTTGTGAAACTTTGGATTAAATATAATTTGGAGTTATGATCTCTTGGACTTATGAAACTTTGGAGTTATGATCACTTGGAGTTGTGAAACCTTGGAGTTATGAGATGATCCCAATTAAATGACCTTTTACTAGAATGATTTGTTTTAGTGCGTCTATCCGCTAGAAGCTTATTTAATTTACTATTTCACAAACTACAATACACTTGTAATAAAATACTACTGTATATTAAAGAAAAACAATTGTTTAATTCAGCATTAATTAATGTTCTGATAAAACTAGTCTCTTAAAATTTCTACCCATACTTATTAAAATACCTCCTCCAAATTTGTATGCAATCAGGAATAAACCCAGAAATTACAAAAGCCTATTATTGCCATCTGCATGTAACTTAACAATGTTTTTACCACTTGACTATGTCATATAAAAAATATGTCATATAGAAATGTTAGAGCAATATGTCTTTTTTTACAATACAAACTTACAAGTGTTGAGCAAAGTTTGTCCACATTTTGACCAACTTCTTGGATAATTCCACATCGGCAGGTACCTCATCTGCAGGTGCATTTACTTTGAAGAAGAAATAGAGGTCGTCTGCATGTGCAGCTCCTGAACAGACATACTTTATGCAATGTATAACTTAATATCCTCAACACATAAAAAGTTGGTTCACCTATTGGGAACAGTTTGAAATACCATAGATGTTTCTTACTTCTCTAGGTTGATTGTAACATAATAATAATACAATAATGCAATAGTTCATGGGAACAAAATTCAAGCTGCAAGTAGCCTAATGGATTACATATTTATTTTTCAATAGTGTCTGACTGCTGTTGCTGTAAACTTGTCTTCTTCCTGAGGATAAACAATGTTTTAATTAATGTGATATTTTTTGTTTTGTTTTGCTGGAGGCCTCCAACTCCCCATGTTATACAGTGAAAAGTTTACTCATGAGTTACTTACGTTAGTCGTTAGTTATACATGTTACTTTAAATCATAATCTCAGTAACGACTCACCAAATCTACCAGTGCTTCCTGTTGAGTAAGTGATGGAATTCAACCCTAGGTAACTGAATAAATAAAAGTACGTCTTCTGCCTATTTGATCTCGCAGCCCTGTAAACACCATTGATGAAGGAGCCATCAGAGTACAACTGAAACAGTTAAAAGATCCCTTTTACAGACCTTTTATAATTCAATTTTCTAGATATTGAAGGATGTTCTAAAGTCACCCATAAGAAATTTCCTTAACAACCAATGTTAAAATCACCTTTACAACACTATTATTTTAAATATTGTGTCGTAATATTAATTCTTTTGGTCAAGAATACAATAATTCTATATTTTTCTTTTCTTTTCTCACTGTTGGTACACATTTTCGTTTTTTAATGAACAAAAAGTAACAAGATAATTTCTTTTTACATAGTGGAGCACACCTATATAAAAATATATTGGATTAACGTCAAAAAAATCATTATCGTTTTTAAATTTATCTGAAATGTGATAATTATTGTACCTTTACAATGTCCAAGTAATTCTTCCTAGCAAAGTGTTCATCCCCAAGGTAGAATTCTTTTAACTTTTTGGAGACAAAAACGGGGTCCTCTGCTGTGTCGTTGTATTGCAGATTGACAGGCAAAAATAGAGTGTAGTTTGAATCTAACCCAGCAAACAAAGTGTCTGTAGGATCCTGATACAAATCTGTAACATGTTGTTAGGTTAAGTGGTAATAAAATTGTTTAAATTCACTCTACACTTTTAGAGAAATCTTTATATTGTGGGCTTGAGTTTGACAAAAAAAAAACTCCACAGCTACTGTTGTTCAAAGTCGATTTAGGACTCGTTATGATAAAGACCCACCTAATGGGAAGTCTATCTACAAGTGGAATAGGAAATTCAGCATTGCCGGTCATGTGAACAGAGAAAATAACACTTGAAGGCCTGCGGTAACTGATGCCCAGGTTAAGTGAGTCCGTGCAACTGTTACACTTAATACAACGCTATAAGTCCTAATCAGGGGTGCCCAGAGGGGGGAATTGTGGCGCGTTTGCGCCACAGGAATTTTTGGGGGGGACTTTTTTTAAGGGATTTTGGGGGGGATATTTAATTTTTGCTAGCTGTCATAATGGCTGTATAATTTTGTACAAGCAGTCCGAAAAAGTGTTTCTCACTAAAAGTAGCTCACTATCAACACCAACATTTTGCCGTTCGAAATTAAGATTGCTTCTAAGAATGGTAAAGCACCTTGTCAGACGTAGAATTTTACATGCTACATATGTTTTGTTGGTTCTTTAACTCCACCATAGTCAGGATTTACAAAAGATCCCCTTCTGGAGGTGTCGTCAGTATACGTTACAAACATTCAACACAAAACACGAAACGATTACAGAGAGGCTTATCAATTCACGCGCGTACATTGCCGTCGGCAAGACTGGAACTGGACTGGAAGTAAACTGAATCGGGTTCAGGTTATGACGGACCGACGTGGTCTCTGAATTGTCTTCTGCGTTTTCAACAGCTGATATTGGACTATTGTTATAGTGACTGAGAAGAGTATTGAAAGTATAATGGCTTTCATAATTAATTGAGTGTTTTCACTCAAAAATATTGTGCTGTCCCCAATTTTATGTATTCATATATTTCAAACTCCTCAAAGTATTTAAAAATTTCCATTCGTGCAGTACTGTAGAATTTCGAGACCATCATTTATATCCAGCATATAAATTGGTTATTATTGTCAATAGTTTTGAATGGAAAACTCAATTATGAATCCCGTTATATTTTCAACATACTCCGTCACTACAATTAGTCCAATATCAGCTTTTGATAACGCAGACGATAATCCAGAGACCACGTCTTTCCGTCATAACCTGATTCAGTTTACTTCCAGTCCTTCCCGCGGCAATATACACGCGTGGATTGATAGGCCTATCTGTTATCGTTTCGTGTTTTGTGTACAAACGGATTGTCTGACAAAATACGTTCCTACCATTTTAGTCACAAAAGGCAATCCTGGGGCTATCAAAATGAATTATAAGATTACTTCGTCACAAAAACCTTTTGTTCTGGTAACATAGTATTTTGCCCGGCGATTTTTGTAGAAGGCAGCCTGGAAGTGGCGAGCAACAAGTCTGACTTATTTCGTGACTCTGCCTATAATTTTGAAACAATTAAGATACTTTTTGCCAAAGTATTATTAATACACTTAAAGCTGTTTGAATTCTTAATACCCTCTAAACATTAAATCCACCTAACATATTGTACAGTTACAGTACTGTGTTGGAGTAGAGTAATTCACCGAGTATAGACCTATTGTTGAACGTGTTGAAGACGTTGTCTATAGCAATACTGAGCACATGTTGGCTGGCAATACAAATTCGGAATTTTGTAAATTGAAAAACTTCTAATTCAACCATTACTTAGATATGTATTGTTAAATGACGTTTCCTATTAAACGTTTAATTTTGATTCTCAATCAGCAAGTTTGTTTTTTGTACCTCAAGTTTACTAAATACTTTAAATACTCGTTTTATGAGGTAAAGGGAAATTGTCAGATAAATTGGTGGGGGGAGGGTAGGTTTAAATAGACGACAACATAAATTGGGGGGACTACTCCTTTGGTTTGGGGGGGGGGGATTGCGCCTCTGGGTTTAGGGGGGATGGGCACCTCTGGTCCTAATCACACAACTAATGGCTTGGAGAAACAAGAAAAACTTCTGAAAATGTTGTGTAAAGCAATATCATGATGGGAATCTCACAACATTCTGAATTCCCTGTTTAAGTGACATCAACGACCCTATGTTGTGTTGGCCTTCGCTTAGCCCAGATTTAACTCTTGTGATTTCTTTTTGAGGGGTTATGTGAAAGACGAAGTATTTGTACCTCATCTCTAATTAAATCTCTTGCAGCTGAGAAAAAGAGTTTTTGCTGCAATTAATCAGCCCACTTTTCAGTGGATTTGGTCAGAACTGAAATATAGGAGTGACTTATGATATGTAAACCGAGGTACACATATTGGTAACATAGGAAACATTTTGTAACACATAGGAAAAATTATTTGCGACCCATGGAAAATATGTACTTTCTGAAAATGTTAGTTGCATTCTCCTGTAGCATTCTATGTGCATTCCACTGCAGTGTTGGATGGGAGGGGATATGAAAGGATTAATTTATTCCCGTCATCATTGTTCTGTTTGAAATGTACCTTTCAAAAAAATCAGTGCAAGTGGGAAATAAATATTCAAAATGAAAAGAAAACAACTTATATCTCATCTTAAAATTGAATAAAATTTGTAAAGTCCTCTACAGCCATACTCTGTACTTACAAGGAGGCAGGTTGATGTCTAAGGCCTCCATGTCTGTGACTCCAGCTATCATGGGGACAGCTGTGGGGACAGTGTAGGGGTCAACTGTAATGAAAGGATCTTCTGATCCGGGAGGCTCAATCACTGGAGTCAGCAGGGTGACCTTCCTCATCAAGGGGTCTGAATTAACCTGTTACAAACAGGGAAACAGGAGTCAAACAGTATCAAATTACTGCCAAGTTTTTTTCAACATTACCCAACATAGTCACAACTTATTTTTGTTTGTTAATGTTGATTCAAAGTTTTAAAAATGTTTGTCAACATAAACTGTTAATGTTTTTGTAAATATTTATTATTGGCAATAGATAAGATTTACAGGTCAACGACACTACAGGATCCTTATTTTAAGGTGAAAATAAGCAAATGATGTGTTTTGAATGAATAATATGTCACATTTATTCCTTACTTTACTAGCATCATATCTTGTTCTTTAGCCAGGATCATTTATTTTGTTTACACTTACAGCACCAAGTCTGAGTAGGTCTGGGTATTAGTTCGTCAAACCTAACCTGCGAGCGCTAGAGAGCATGTTAACTCAGTTAATTAATGCATTGCACTTACAAGTATTTTGCGCTGGTTCGAATGCAGTACATGTACAATCCATATTGAGCTTGCTAATGTGTGGTTCAGCACCTTAATATGTCTAGATTGGGTGGAAGTGAGTTAGGTATTGCACACAACACCTGCTTTGCTTCTTTTTACATCAGTACAGAGGACACAGATTTTTTTCTTTTCAGCGAATTTCCAATATAGGAAATAAGCTATTACTTTAAGTCTCATGGTAAGACCTAGGACCGGGACCAATTTGCTTTTTCGTTTTGAGGTCCCCAGAGGCCAAAAACACTATCCGTTCAAATTCGTATATATGTGTTCGTTAGCGCAATAACTTGAGCAAAATTGACCCGATTTTGATTAAATTTGGTACAAACGTGTAAACCTACGTTTATTCGAAAGTGTTCGCGAACTAGCATAATTGGACTATGGGAACGGAGGTTTATGGGGGGTTTTATGGGTTAAAAATTTTTTTTCCCCATTTTTGACCCTAAAAACACAAAATTTCATCATTTCTCTCCAAACAATTTTGTAAAGCTTGAAAAAAGAAACAATTTTAATTCTGTATATTGAAGCATTGTTGTATGCCCAACGGTTACGAAGATATTTAAAAAATTGTATTTTTAAAATTCCCATGTTATTCTTAGAATAAATAAACTTTTATAGTTTGCTTGTTTATGGGTATATTTTAACCAAATTTGGAAATTTTGTTTATTTCATACTATAAGCTATCAACATTGCAATAAAAAACACACCTCAATATCTTCCCTGTAGCAGCAAACCTAAGTAGGCTACTCAGTAAAATTAATGTTTTTTTTTTAATAGTAAATAAATACGGTATGACAATTTTTAGGGAATATTTTAGTAGAAATCCAACCAGGTAAATGGAAATTCGCTTATTTATTTATTTATTTATTCTTTCAACAGTAACACCATTTTAAGGGCTTAGTCTACAGGTTAGCTGCGGCGGGGGTATATTTTTGTTAAATATAGGAACATTACCAGACTAGCACTCTATTAGCATAAATCCACTCAGCTACACAGCAGCTATATAAATTTAGCTAATACTGTTAACTATAGTCCACAACCCCTTACTTTCACAGTGAGAATACTGATTGAGTTTTTTATGGAAATAAATTAGTGTTTTATAACGGTCTATTATAGTATTTACATTTTATAATCATTCAAGTATTTTTTTAAAACACTAATCAATCTGAAAGGGGAAAATTATATCATTATGCCTATGCAAGAAAAAACCTTGAAATGTTAGTTAAAAACTCGTTCGCCCAATGTCAATTTATCAAAACATACAGATGAAAACATTATAAAAATGATGTAACTAACATAAGCAAATGTTATACGTGATATATTTCGGAGAAGTAGAATGACACAGCATTGGTGTTTTTTTTGTCATTTAAAATTGAGTTTAAGATGTAATCCTTAGTTACTCTGGAATATTAAATCATAGTGAATGTAATATTGTAGCTATATTGCTGTGTACTCTAGTCTGGCAAACTTTACAATTTATAATCTATAACACTGAAAACATTACCAAAAGCTGTCCAAGTATTATTGAAAATCTTTCAGCTGGTACTGTTCGTAAACAGTCAACAAACTCATGGGAGTTTGTTTGGTTACAAGCAGTTCTTGCAGCGATAAAATCGATGTAAATCTGTTGAGATCCAGGAGGTTGGAAGGCCCAACAGTCAAACGATGAACCACTCTGTAATATTGCTGATCTGAACAAACCTACAACAGATTCATCACATCTTATAATGTAGTGTATAGGTATGCTACAACTCAATATAGAGTAGGGTACAATCAAATCCTAAGCTATATATTAAGCTAGTATACAGGATCATTGACTGTGTAGTGTGTAAAGAACTCATTCATTTCCATGTTATGTAGCCAGTTTAAGAACTAGAAGTTTTTTGGGACTACTAGTTGCAGAGGGACATCCTAGCCAGGAATAAACTGTTTCAGATGGTAAAACCTTTGTTTGCCAAAACCATTGTTTGCTTTACATTGTGTAAAACCTATAAACATCACGTAATACCTACACTTTATAGAGTGTTTTTATTACCACTGGTTTTAAATGTATTGCTATTATTGCTACCTTTTACGGGGTTTTTTAATTGACCGCTCAAACTGCAATGATTAAATAAATCAATATATTTTATTTTGAACATCCGGTTTAATTTTGCTAGGCATTTGGTAAATAAATAATGATAATGTTATGTCATGCATGTTCACATAATAAAAATTCACCATATTTCAATGCACTTCATATTTAGAACTCAAATACAAATTAAAATTGAACCAACAACCACTTTCCATTTCTGAATATGTGAATTAAACGTGACAATTATAACATAATTACAAATTATGACTGGGACGGGTGTCGTCCTGTAATCCAGCTACTAGGAGGTCACGAATTGTGGATATTTATATTCACCTATTGGGTCTGATGATGATTGGAGTGTCCAATCGAAATTGATCACCACTTACCATCTTTTTTGTATATTTACCGTCTTGTGAGTAACAGTATAAGCGTAAATATATGTTTTAAGACGTTTCTTTTATTTACTTTCCGGATATTTATAGGGATGCACTGTGGATGGGATGCTCCCTGGAGTGGATTAACGTCTGCACCAGTGAGTACTACAACTATCCGCAGTACTATCCTGATAATAATAGCAATTTGTTAATTAAAAGAGGAAAATGTGGTTCGGACTCCACTATAAACTGTTGGTCCCTTAGTTGCCATTGACTGTATGGGATTAACAGCTGTGTCTAAGAAATATGTCGGCATTAATCACTAACAAGACTACAAGATCGTCCCACTCATCCTTCACTCGTATTTGGGTTAAAATACGCACATAGTGGCGCCCCCATCTTAAATAGTTGATAATTGATAAGAACATGTCTGAACGTACTGGAATTGAGTCACTGACAGAATGTGCTGATTTCTGTTGAATACACCAACTTTTTAACCAGACAAAACTCAAAGAACAACTTGTTGCAAGCTATAGCATATTTTATGTAATAAAAAATTGTCACAGCAACCAAAAGTAAGCTGAAAATAATTTCAGACTGCAGTACACTCTGTGATTGACTCATTCAACAATGTTCTTTGGAATAATAATTGGCCACAGCTGGTCCATATATACATGGGATGTATACTTCAGTATTTAAAGGTCAATGATGGTATGAAGATAGTTCTTGTACCTTCGTGTGATGTAAACTTCATATGATAGTGGACACTGGCTGCTCCCGCACTCTGGCCAAATATGGTTATCCTTCGAGGATCTCCTCCGAAGTATATGATGTTCCTGTGAATCCAGCGCAGAGCTAATCTTTGGTCCTTGAGCCCAAGGTTTCCTGGCAATGCTGGGTCATCCAGGGACAGGAAACCTGGGAATCAAAAACAAACAATACTTTTTGATGATTTCTATTATGATATAGTCAAAGGTGACTTCAAGCTTACAATATCTTATTTAGACAGGTAGTTTGAGTTAGAATAATAATGCACATTAAACCAACTTCAAAGAAATCCTCTTGACAAGAGAGTACATATTATAGTAAAATCATGATTGTAGAATTTTCTTATTCTTGACCAGAAATTGTGGTCTACTTAGGGAAGTGAGATCATGTTGTGTACTTTAAGATGTGACATGATCTAAGCTAGAATGTTCAACTTCATCTCGAAACAGGAATATGAGGTAGTATACTAAGGCAACAAAACCTATAGGAAACCAGTTTGCTTCTCTTCCAGGGATGAAACTACTGCAACCTGGGTCCAACCCAATCAATCAAGAGTTCCTAGGATCTCGGTAGTGTGTTGTGGTAGTGTCTAGAAAATAGGTTGGCTTGCAGTGGTGTTCCAGGAATATTACAAGATGTATAGAGTGGTGACATAACTGCACACCCCAACTTGTGTTGCATGTTGAGAAAGAAAGAAAAGCATCTGCAGATTGTATACAAGAAACAGATTGTTGACAACAAACTGCGTCTCAACCTGTCCCAGAGGCAAAGGTGGCCACTGTCGGGTATGGAGTGACGTTTACCTTTACACAGAGTCTGTCCCACCCCTATACTCCATACTTGGGATGCTAATTCATAGGATTATCCCTCCTTACCTAACAAATTAGATGGGACAAAGCTTATTATTAAACTTTAAATTGACATCCTGTTCTAAAGGAGCTCCATTTTCACCAAAGTTTTTTGTCAACTTTTGTTGTGAACTGTACACTGCTTGCTGAGCTGAACTCAAATTTGGTCTAGCTTAGCTCACAAAAATGTTGGCTTTCATCCTGCATCAAAATACTCAGTTTAGGTTCATTAACATGATTTCAGAATATGCAATAAAATTTTAAACCATATACATTTTACTTGTACTTTTGATGAACAAATAAGGTGTTCGCTTATTATTATTGTCTTTAAACATGTTTGACTCACCTAAAACTCCCACTCTGTAGTTTAGAGTGACGAGAACTATGTCTTCATCTAAGAAATAGTCTGGTCCGTATGTGTAACTGTAGGCAGAACCAATCTCAAAGCCACCACCATAGATAAACACCATTACTGTGTATTTCGGTTTGGGTGTAGCCTGTGAATTAACTACATTTAAAATACAGAAGATAACTTTTATTTGTTTTCTGATCCATCTGTGATGATGTAATTGAGGGAGTTGTTATATCATCATCAGACTAGTAATGGAATATTACTTCAATGGTCTCTATCACGGGGAGCGAGCTGGTGTTGAGGCCCGGTTCAGATCCCGCCAAATCCCCAATGGATTTAATCTAATCTAAGTGATATGATAATGCCGCAACCCCTATGTCTAGCCTGCAGTAATGTGAAAAACTATCCCGGGCTTGTGCTTAGCGTCCTATTGTTTCTATCATGGTGGAAGGATAAAATATAGGTGTGAAGCTCCCGTTATAGGCTGATGTCACCCAGGCAAACTGAAAATCACCTGATTGTAACTGTCATCTATAATTATATATTTGTTTTGATTTGTTATTACAATTTTTCAAAATAGTGCAATGGCGTTTGCAATCTGGATGACGTCAGCCTATGACGGGAGTATCACACCTATGTTTTATCCTTCCACCATGGGCAGGCCCACCTTTATAAACAGACAGACTGGGCATATGCCCAGGGGCGCCGGTGGTTTGGGGGCGCCCGCCGTGTGCCCCTCAACCACCGCCCACCCGCACTAGTAAAAAAGGGGCCACCACTTTTGGGTTTGCCCAGGGCTCCACTGACCCTTAACGCGGCCCTGACCAGAGGTCTCTATTATAAGCCAGTTCAAAAGCTGTCCAAATAAGCTGTAGTCATTATGTTTCAATAGAAATTACAAATAAACGGTATGAGCAATCTGACACTTACTTTCTCCCATTAGCTTGTCAACAACCTTTATTATGGGTAAGCGGTACTTTTAAAGCATGATTGTTTTAGCAATCCGGTTGCACTATTGTATTTAGAATCATAAGGACCATAACAATTTTTTAAATCAAAACCGGTTTTTTCCTAAAATTCAATTTTTTGTTATTTTCCGGTTTTTGAAATGGTAAAGTAACATAAGTTAAAATAACTTTTGAACCGTAAATTTTGGTACGGGATTTGTACCATTTTGTTAAGAATTTTAAGGACTATAACATTTTACATTTTTATCACAATCTTTCGGCCCAATTTTGAGAAAATAGGTTTATTTTAATTTATTTTATGGGTTTTAATAGAAAAAAATTGTCATTAAAAATCTAAATTTCAAAAAGATGAAAAAAACCTGGAGATACCATGGATTAGTACCTACATAACAAATTTAATCAAAATTGGACCACAGTCAGACAGACATCACTTCGAAAACCATTTTTTGGGTCCAGGAGGACCGAAAACGGATAGATCCACTCAAAAACTCAAACTCAAAAATTTTGACGAAAACAATACTTTCTCCATATAGGGGAGAAAGTAAAGATTGATTACCATGTGTACCTAAAACTTTAATTTGAATTATTTTTTTGTAAAACCTTTCTTATTTAATTAAAAAATATATCTTGTATACAAATATAAACATTATGTAATCTTTCATTTAACTTGCTTTATAGTTTTGACCAACCAATTTTTTTTATGTGATGATTCCAAAATTTTTCCGGAATGACTTATTAGTACGGTAGTTTATTGTCCATCTTAATAACACAGACAGGTCAACTATTCCAGATTGTACGAAGTACCTTCCCTTACCCCCACCAGTACCAGTTACTGATGGTTTAGTTACCTTTACCTTGAGATGGTAAAATTCAACTTTTTATCAAAATGAGCTTCTCATTGAGATTTTTACTAGTATAAAGAAGTAATTAGGCTACTGCAATGGGTTGAACAACAGCTCTTGATGTTTTTAAGTACATTATATAGCATTAGATACCAACATGTGGTGTGTAAACATTGAGATAAAGACAGTCTTCAGCTCCAACGGGGACCATGGCTTGCAGACATTCTTGGCCGTCTTCTGTAGCATCCAGCTGACCTTCCCATGGTAGAGGAGGCTGTGGTGGCTGAAACAACAAGACACGACAATTAGTCTTATTGAATTGCAATTGCTTTGCTTATTAATTAATTATTGTTAGAACTCTCACCCAGGGGTTTTACCCTCACTGATGTTGTATAAGATCATTACGGTACATATAACAAAAATTGCATTTAATCAGTGTACTAACAAGCCTTTTTGGATACAAAGTTTGCATGTATAGGGTATTATATAGATGCGCTTTATTCTACAAATATGTTCCCAATGGACGTCTGTTGAAATCTGCTCCCATGCAATCTTGTCCCAATACATCACTGGTTACACTATTTAACCACCCATTTCTTTCATCTCTTCTTAGACCTTTATTCTAAATTTAGCTAAAACTTTAACATGGGAATGGAATTTTCTATATGGTTTTACCCACGAATACTTGAAACGTGGTTATATCCATAGTACATGGTATAACAATTTGGGTGTAACAATAAAATCAGCTGACTGAGAAGGAAGTTGGTTAGTCGGTGGTTAAGTCGGTAGTCACGGACTTCGGGCCCAAGGCAGCGATGTCGTGGGTTCGGATCCTGGTCACTGCCAAAAACATTTCATCAGTACAGTTCGCCTTCGTACTGTACCAGCTCACCCTTTGCTTTGCTAGATACATTCCACGTACGGGCAGTTAGTCTATTTGGACGGGCAAATGCAAGGTTAAAAGAGAAAGACGCCAACAATCTCTTAAAAAATATAAATAAAAAAGTTTTTGTTTGTCATTGACGACAGATTTCAAAAATATATTTCCCATTGTTATTGAACATTTTTTGCCAGAATTGGTGTTGCAGTAACTAAAAAGTGGACTAGTGTTGGGAATTCACTGACACCACTTATTTACATTTTGATTGTTGGATTGCATTGCTAAGTTGTATGAGTTGTACTGATGTACTAAAGTGAGTGTCTGACACATACCCTGAACCGGAGTGGGCCCAGGGGTGGAGCTGCGTATGGAATGCCCAAGTAACCCTCGACATCACGACCGCCCCGTGTGGTGAACCATCGCCCCAATATTGTCCCCTGGGGTACCTCAGCAGTAGGCGAGTCTTGGGTACCACCCCAACACCCAGGGAGCAGCAGAAGCACCAACCAGAGCATTCTTGAAAGAAAGCCAACTACCTAAATCAAACTAAAAGAGGTATTTTTTCTTGGGTGGTATTTCCATTTGATTAGATTAGTTTTCAAATACATAGTAATAATTGATGTATAAACAACTCTTAATTCATTGCATCTTTATGAAACTTATTACCTATTTGGTTTGTAAAACTGTTGTGGGAAAATATTATTCAAATTGATGTGAAGTCCTTAAATAGTTGTTTCTGCAACTAGTGTGCAATGGCATTTTGCTGCACATGATAGAAATGTTTACTCACAAGCTGCAAGCGAGGTACACATTATATTTGTCCTACAATTACTATCAAGCATATAAATAATTAATTAGTCTTTCAAACACTTAAAAACACATTTTGGTTAGATTAAAAATCTAAACGTTGAATGAAAATAGAATGTTGGTTAACACAAGACAACAGGTTAAGTATCAATAGACAAAGGCTGGGAGATTCTGCACCAGCTGATGATCGTAGTCATAGTATCTTTAAGTGTTGCCAGCCTATTTTCAAGCATATACGTATTACGTGCCTAATAAAAGCACACTGTTTTGTGTAGTTTGGTTGGAATACTGGAGTGTGGCAAAAGGAAATAAATGCAGTAATTAGCTACTTTGCTTTGGTCAGTGCAAGAAGAAAGCTGTGTCAGGTAACTGAAAAAAAGGTGTAAAACCTAATTTTTCCATCTGACACTGACTGTGGAAATTCTTCTGTAATTTATATGCATGATGCAATCGTTAAATGAGCTAGAAAGGTTTGATTGTATAATCTTTAAGGCAAATGGATCAAGTTAACTCACTAACAGCTAGTGAGTAAAAAAGCAGGCTATTTCCGCTATTAGCTAGTTTTAAACGTCATCTACTAAATCCTAGTTATCACTTGTCAACAAGCTAATACACTTGGATAGTTTTACAATCCAGTTTGCTTGAATTTGGTGGCTATAGTTCGGCCGCTTAAAAAGCGACCTGCGATGGTAACTTAATGCTAGAGGAGGTCGTTTTCTAAGCGGCCTAACTATAGTGTGTAAAGTTGCCGGCTGCGGGATGAGTCAATTTTCTGCAGAGTTGTAGTCATAATCAAAGAGAGATTGGCGATTTGACTGGGCTAGTTTACAAACTATGTGTAATTAATTGGCAAATAGCTAGTAAACTCCCCTTGTGTAATTGAGTCTATACTTTGAATTGGTTTAAATCAATTCCACACGTACAGTAATGTTAATTTAATATGAACTCAAAAATGTGTTGTTTTTAACAAAACATAATATTTAGCAATGAAATAGGTGTAAATACATACATGTATCTCGTAAATAAAAATTCCTTGACAAAATCTTTCCATGAGCCACTTTTACATGTTGTTCACACAATTAAAACCTTTCAATGGCATACTGAACTGCCACTCCGAGAATATTGCTTCCTGTTCTAGTGTCAATAGCTACTGCCTTATCTCTGTGTGATTGTAATACTAGAACTAAAAGAATGTACCCAGTAACCGAGCTAGTGTGATAAAATCATTGGTAAACAATTCGATATTGATTTTACACTCTTTTCAAGGTTAACAAGATAAATGAGGTAGGATAATGTGTTCCATTCAAAAGATTATATAGTTTCTTTTCAACGAAACAATCGTTCTTACTTATAGGGTACAAGTAGTTTGATAATTAACAACTTAAAATATATACAGTATAACCCCTGACTCAGACAGATGTGCTCATTAAAAAAAATCGTCCACTTTAAAGACATGTTGCAGCTAGATGAGTTTCCAGTTTTTTTTTTTCTTTTTAAATGTGTTCGTTTTTTCTTTTTTTATCTCTGGTGGAAGGTGACTAAACAGTTTAATTGCCATGTAATATGGACCCTTTTCCAAAAGAGACAATCTATGTTTCGGCACAGAAAACGTACTACTATAACCCAGAATGCCAACCGCATGGTAAAAAGCATTAAGTGTTTTGAGAGAGCTTTGCCTGTCAATCCGTAGGCAGCGCCACCAGCGTTGCTATGCTATTGCATGGCAACGCTGGTGGCGCTGCCTACGGATTGACAGGCAAAGCTCTCTCAAACCGCTTAATGCTTTTTACCATGCGGTTGGCATTCTGGGTTATAGTAGTACGTTTTCTGTGGTTTCGGGTACCGCAGAGTGTCTGATAGCCTTTTAGGATGGCCTAACAAGGATGGCCTTCTAGTGAATTTCTATAATAGTGAACTCTATAGAATAACACGGTCGGTAAGACCTGACCTAAACCCAGGACTCTAATTTTATTTCCTGTAGTAGTCGTTTAATTTAATGTTATTTAATTAGGGAATAAATCGCACATGTTTAAGGAAAGTTTTCATTGTTAAAATACAATCAAACAATGGAAATTTGCTTATTATATTATGTTGGTTTGCTGCGGCAGGGGTATCTGGTATTATATTTACCTACTATTACAGTGTCTTCGTAAATTGTGTCAAGCAAAGAAAAGAATGAACCAGTTCTGTTAAATTGTTAGCTACACTATTACTGTTAATACTGTTCAGTGATATATTTGAGACACCCTCTCATGATATCATTGTTTCTAAGCCACATAGGTAGGGTACTAGTTTTCTCTCTGCATTTCACCCTTAGAAACAATACCATACTGATGAATTAAAAAGCAATTACTAGAGTAGGGAATAGGATTAGCACTCACATTTCCCAAAATGATCACTGAATTAAAATAGGAGTGAATAACTTTCAGTCTGTTTATAAGAATTACAGTTTATTACCAATGACAATAAATAATTTTTGTACAGAAACAAACAACTAATATCAGGCAGGGCGACAAAGTTTTGCTTTAATGATACAGTATTAAAAAAAAGATTTAAAACTTTGCTTTAATGATATTTAAAAAAAATTTTAAACTATCTTTTGATGTTATAAAACAGGAAGACTAATAAAGAACAACAATAAAAGACAGCCATAAAACAGCCATTTTTATGGTAGACAGCCATAAAAAAAGACAAAAATACTTACTAAAATGTACATATGTATAGAATAATATATAAAAAGAACTAAATGTACACAAGCAGTAACATGTACACAAATACTGTGAAACAACTATTAAATACATGTAGAATGAACTTTGATATTATTTACGTGTACAAAACATTAATCTTACAATTATTATGTCCTTAGACGGAATAAACAGATGAACATAGATAATAAATACATGTAAATACCCAGTTGAATGAGTTCCTTTGATACAACTCTTTCAGGTAAGAAAACTAAAAGCAATTCTAAGAAAATATCAACATCACAGACTTAAATAATTCTTAACTAGGTTGCTATTTGCCATCTCAACTAACAGTTTCTATTAATAGTTTAATGCTTGAGTAGGAAAACCATGAAACAAATGTTTAGAAAGATTGGATTATAAACAATCCTTATCCGAGAGTTACAAATTTGCCTCTGGTGTTGTCTGGAGGCATACAAAAAAGAAAAAGATTGACAGGATGAAGCATGACTTACTGTAAGAAGTATTCTTTTAAATAAGTGGGTATTCAAATAGGTTTCCACTTTGAATTTTTATTCCCATAGGTACTAAGATCTGAAACTTTTACTAAGAAATAATAACTATGACTTTTTGGCTCAGGCTCTATTAGTATACATTGCCTACTCAATAAAAAAATAATACAACTAAAGTATCACTTGCAAAGTCTAAATCTCAACTAATTCACCGGTTACTCATAAATTTATTGTGTAGATGTAGAGTTTTAAAACTAATTGGGTATTTTCTTAGCTTGATGTTGTATGTCTTTGTTCATCAAAGATGTCAAACAGCTTAAATACATTCAAGTAGTTTTAAAACCATCCCTCTACTGGCAGCCAGTCTTTTTTGTGTAGATGTTTGTAAGAGATCAAACCATAACTCTTTTGAAGGCACAATAATAAAACCTTTTTATATTTTACCTTACTTTCCAATATAATTTTACTCTATAAGAGTCTGCATATCAAATATATCTTTATGGCTAGTGTATGAAACAGAATAGCCTACTAACAGGTTTTAAAGGACAGTTCAAAAATAGATTTATGCTTCAGTACACTTTTAGGTATTCTTCATTTGTGACACAATATTCATTCTATCACTTAGAGGTTTGAACATTTTTTCAAAATGTTTTCCTTTGCAGGATTATATTTTGGAACATGTTTACTCATTAACAAAACGTCACATCAAGTGATCTAAGATTAGAAGAAATTATTAATGACTTGTTCGTTGAATTACTCTAGTAAGTTTTCAAAATGAAATATTTAGGTTTATAATGCCAGGTTGGGGTCCAACTGAGAAGTCTAAGCTGTAGTGATTCAAGAAGGAGGGTTGGTACGCGTGGGAGTGGTAGGAGTCAAACCCATTGTTTTGCACACCCAACCAGCAATGTCGTTGTCATCACTTTCAGCTCGTCTTATCCATTCGTGGTTCTGTACAAACAAGAGTAAACCTGTGAGACACTGTGACAATTACAACCAGTTCTAACAAAACATTAAATTGTAACTTATTTAAGAGAGTTAGTAAATGTGTATGAGGTAAAAGCAGGGGCAAGTTTAAAGGCGGGAGGTGAAAATGGTCATTGAACTGCTCTCAACTCAATTTAACATTCATAAAACTAAATTTTGATTGCCAAAACAAACAATAAACTCTTTCAGTGAATTTCCCATTCAGGGAAGAAGTTATTTTATCTATCTATTGTAGCTAATTTTTAGAAACAAAGATCCAGCTTTTTAGGGGTTTACATTTGACTACAAACCGATAGCTCAATTAACACCCGGGTGCTTTATTGAAACCAATCCAAGATTAATAAGAGCATTAAATTTATGAGGAGTCTCATTCATTTTAAAACACCTTTTATTTTAATGCGATTTAAATGAGGGTGTCCAGCAAATGGGCTCGGCCAAATTTACGCAAATTTCCTTCCATTATTCCCGAGGCATTTTTTTGGGTAAATTTAGCAAAAGTTAATCAAATTGAATATTTTATTTGATATGCAATACAAACAAAAAGGGTGCACACCCTCAACAGATCATGACGCAGTAAACTTTAATTTAATCAATGCTGGTATTTAAATTACATATTAACAACATGCAATTTCCTCGTTGATATAATAACATATTCCACAGAAAACTACACTGTTAAGCTGTTAAGCAATATCACCTTTTTGCCAGCCTTAATGGATAGTTAGTTATAGCAATTTAAACATTATGTTTATCTTTATAACCTGTTCAGTACGAGCAAAACTCTTGTAAGATATGAGAAATTAGTAAAATACCATTTTAATAACATAAACAACACTGTTTGTACATGAAGGTTAAAGAATTTTCAAGGGCCAGTGGCGAGGGTAAAAAGGTATTTAGGCATGTTAGATTGGTCATTGGAATTGAATGAATCATCAATAATATTACAAAGCACTTGGGAGTTGGGAGATTTGCACGGAATTGTGGGTTAGGGGTGAGCTGGTGATTTGTTGCACCATTTTGATGGACGTCAAAAATTTTTTTATTTATTAAAATCACAATGATTAAATATGGTCTACACTAAGAAAGTAGGGTATTTGAAATTATTGTCATTTTCACTGAAAAAAATAACCAACATTTTTGTGTTTTGTACAATTGTACAACAGTTAGGCCTTAATGACGTCCTAATCAGAAAACAAAACCTATTCTCTCACTCTCTTTCACTATCTTGTCGAGCGATTCTAGACCTTCTGTTCTATTACGCCAATGGAGAGTGTAGTGCAAGTGACACACGATATTCACCCTTCTCATATTGGACATACGGTATATATTGGACGCACACAGTCTGGACAAACGCTGCAGTTCAAGCGATATTAGACCTTCCGTACGTTATCACACCACCGGCAAAAAGCCTCAAAATACTTCATAGAGTGTAGAACTAATGAACAATTATTACATTACATTCATACACTAGACATACAAAATTGATTTTAATTAAGAATAGACACAACATCTTTTGTCAACAGATGAAACTGTGAAATTATGTAAATAGTATGTTTAAATCGCTTTGTGGTTTTGTCACTTCCAACTTATACAAAATAAGTTTAGATACATTGACAAAATAAAATACAAATCACACATTATTGTTTTGGTTATTAACATATAATATATTTAAAATTACCTCTAAATCCCAGAAGTATTGAACATCCCTAAACAATAAGAACTTTAAAATAAAATTGCTTGTCTGAGTTATTTGTCAATCTAGACGAGCGTAGCAGACAGCCGAGACATTAGACCACAGATGTCACTAGACATAGAGTTTAGATTTGTTGTATTCACCCGTTGCGTCGTCGTCGTTCAGAAACCGAGCTCTGACGTAGTAGCCTGAATCCTAGTCCTGGGCTGGACAGCTTCGAGAAAATGGCTTTCGTAGCCTGTTGTCTTCGTAACATGCTGATTTAGAGCTTTTTACCCTAATAAATTTTTCCTGTTGGAGAAAAATTTTACACTCTGTTTAACCCTCAATAAATGTTGAACATTTAAAATAAAAAAATCTATCGCAGAAAAATTCTCGCACATTACTGCCATAATTACAGAATTTCTGTATAATTCTTGCATAGTGAAATGAAATGAAATGAAAATCCTTCTTTATTGAGGCGAACTTATGACCTCATGGTCCTTTCTTACAGTTAACCTCTAGTGCCAGGCGTCATAATAATCTTCGCTTTTTATGGGTTTCCCGGTCTCCAGACACCCTGTAAATCCTTGTTTTTTTTTTTTATTTGCTCTGCTGAAAATCCCCTTATCACTAATTAGACATAAACCTAGCAAAATCTATACTAAAGAAACTTACCATTAAGGTTTTGAGATCTGCCCGTTCCGCAGGGTTTTTCTTCAAACACCGATCTACAAAGTCTTTGAACTCGTCAGAGAAAATCCCTGAAGGCAGCTTGGGAGGAGGTTCATTGACAATGTAGTCCAACAACTCAAAAATGGCCATGGGGCGGGGCCCGTTTCCATTTGCTGAAACAAATTACATAGACTAAGACATTCTGACACTAACAAAATTAAACAGTTCCTAGTTCAATAAATTATTTGATTTTGTCATCCTTACTTCTAGAGGCTTGAGTTTCCAGTGAATCGTAACACTGCAGCTTTGCTGTGTGAGTACATGGTATGTCGATCACTAATCAATACAATCACAATTGCACATTTCCAACAATACTAGAGCTGCATTAACAGAATGTATTGTGATTTTACTGTCATCCATGTACAGTCTGTAAGTAATTTTTCTGGTTTAACTATTTTAAGAGATAGTTTATTGCCAAGTAGGGGTGTTGACACATCAAAAGTTCAGATTAAATTTGATTCAATGCATTGAGTCGCGATTTGATTCAGTGGTGATCAAAAACGATTCTATTCATATACGAAAAACGCCTGCAGAAAGTCAATGCAATACCTGCAATACAGGAGCGTGTTGTTGTTGCGTTTCCTTTGCGAAGGCGTTCTTATTTAATTAATTCTTTGCTTGTAAATATTGCTTTATAATTTTTTGTTTTGACATTGCAAATGATGAGAAGTTTTCTTAAGTGTAAGCAGTGTGAGAGCACAAGTCTGAAAAATTGTTACTTGATACTTAACTAGTATGTTTAATGTCTTAGACTGATAAATTTGGTATTTTTGTAGGTCTGCTATGTATACCTTGTGGTTTGTAGGTCTGATTCTATCCTCTCATTTTATCGATGTAAACTAATTATTGAAAGTTTCAGTATAAATCTTGCAAATGTTTTATTTACACCAAAACATATCTTTATTTGTAAAATCAATATTATAGAAATAGGTAACATGCTTAATAATATGATTCTGCAAGAAAAAAATATGAAATAGGCAAGTAAAGCAGCTCAATGACATTTCCAGCAATACATGTTCTTCTAATATGATTGAAAATAAATATTTGTTGTTGTTCACCTAAGATTCATATATGTCATATGTATGAATAGGCCTAATACCACATCAACAAAAATTTTCATTACACAAATGTGGTAAATTTTAATTAGCCTATTGTTATTTCACTCCAATGACAAGTACGGAAAAAAAGCTTCATTGCTTTGAATCAAGTTGCATCGATTCAAATGGAAAATTTTTGAATTGAATCGTTGCTTTGAATTGAACATTTTTTCCTGCTTCGCACACCCCTATTGCCAAGTCAAGGAAATTGAGGTCAATAAATGTTACACCTTATGTTGAATTATTTCAATAGGTTTTTATTTCAAAAAAAATTTAGGCTACATTAATCTTCAAGCAAATAAATGTATGCTAAAAGGTTAAGGATAGCAACTTCAGTTACTTTAAATTTCAATTTAAAATATATTTCAACATTTTCACTGAGGATGTGTCTATTCTCGATTCTGATGCAATGACTGGAGGTTATGATGATGTCTACACAGAATCTTTTAGCAATTGGGGAAGAAAATTATAATGTTTCCGTTACCGCAGGGGGTACTAAGACTTATGCCGTGACCGGCGGAGACAATGACGATGCGTTTCAACACTGTTTTATCATCAAACTGTTGTATTCATCAGTGCATGATGATTTCTATAACTATAGTAATCGGTACAATGACTAAAGCACAACAAAGTTCACAACAATCTCCAAAAATAGTTGAATGATAACAATAACAGCCTTACCTTGTGACGAAGGGTCACCCTCTCTGTTGCTGTTAGGTCCAAAGATGGCCGCCAGAGTCTTGGCGTCCGGAGGAGGAATGGGATACATGCCAATGGCCATCTCTACCAGAGACAGTCCTAGAGACCAGATGTCACTCTGTACTGAGTAGTGTGTGCCTTGTAGTCTCTCTGGCTGTGAACACAAAACAATCGTTCAATACCTACTTCTATAACACCATTTAATAACATTTATTCAAAATCAGAACATAGAAAAAATATTTATTTTATTTTTTTTATTGAAAAAATCTTATTGAAAACCACTCAAACCTGGGCTGAGCAATACAAAACTTATTTAAAAACTAGCGTTAAGAAAGCTTGATTGTGTGTTGAATTTTGTTTTGGATAGCAAAATCCATTTAATGTAACCAGAATTTTCATTCACTATGGCAAAAAACATTGGCTTTGCAGAGGACAATAGATATCAAGGGTAATAATTGCATTTATTGGCTATGTAGCTGAGGTGTTATATAGTGATCGCCTAAAAATCAAAAGGTTGCTGGTTAAATCCTGAGAAAAGTAAGTAGCTTTTTGATGGTTCGAAACTGGACCCAGGTGTCCTTGATCATTGGGCTATAAAAATACATAATGGCTGAAAAAACACTGTTAAAGCTACACAGATCATCTCACTCCATTTTAAACTAACCTTGTATTCATATTCAGCTTAAAATACACATCTAGATGTGCATCACTGTATTGAAGTAATGGTAATAACACTTAATATTATATTCAACATTTTAAAATTTTAGTTAAAATAAGGAATACAGCTTGTTAGGCTACATAAGATTCATTCCTAAGTTTAGATCATAGTTCAATACTCGACGTTGAACCAACTTACCGACATGTACGACCGTGTTCCTACAAAGCTGTTGGCCATCGAGTCGATAAGTTGACCCGAAACACCAAAATCGCAAATTTTAATCTCGCCAGCGCTGTTGACCAGAATGTTGCTAGGTTTGACATCTCTGTGCATGATCGCATGCTTGTCCCTCAAGTAGCTGAGGCCTTTCAACACCTAAAGGGAGAAATATCATTTGTTAACAAATTGTAAATTATAAATATTATCAAACACCCTGTCTGCATTGTAATAATATACGTCAATAGTACTTGTTGGACAATTTTGAGCATTGGGCAACCACTTCACATACAAAAAAATCACAAAACGTCCACAGTTGGTCTGGAGGGTAGTAAAAAGTAATAATCTCTTTTATTACAATTGAGAAAAGGGATTCTCCAAACATTTTGTCCTTACTACAAAATTACATGCTATAAATTATCTTAACAAATTACTTACTGCCGATGTAATAGTCCCCAAAATATTCTCAGGAATTCGTCCAGCTTTCTTCAATATTAGATCTAGTGAACCTCCGTCCATGTATTCCATACAGATACTGATTTCTCCATCACTACAACAGTGTTATGGGTGTGGTAAACGGTTTAAAAACTGGAAGTAAAATTGTATTTATGTTGTTACAAAATCTACAATATCTCAAGATTACACAAATATTACCCACCACTAACAATGTTTAGTGTGGGCATCACCAGTTGCAAGCTAGTTGGTTATTTTTTACTAAATCGATTAACTTTTTTAGAGAATCGAAAATACAATTCCCATCCTCATAGAACCAATACAAAACAGATATTCTAAGGCTGGTGCTGCTTCTTTCCTGGTTAAGCTCCCAAAGGGCAATCTAATCACTTACAAAATTGAATTATAAGAGTTTTAATTAAAACTCTATAATCATACGACTACTTCAGAATTCATCAGTATTTGTAGCGTCAGTGATCACCAACAAACAGTGGTGCAGAACCAGTCCAATAATGCCCACTCCTAGTACATAGCGTAACATCGTACATGTACAAATTATCCTACCGATATTATAACCTAGGTGAAACCCGTTGAAATTGACGGTTGCTTTATTTATTTATTTATTAAACATCATCACATTACATCAATTCTCTTGACAGGTGATTTGTCACAAAGTCTAATACTAATACTATACTACATTTTAAAATAAAATAGCTTACAAAAGAAATAAAGCAAATAATAAGCTACAAATCTATGGGATAAGCAATATCTTTCAAATATACTCATTTTCCAGATATTCTTCTAACGAGTAAAATGCCCTCTCCAAAAGGAATTTTTTTAAAGATAGTTTAAATTTAGAGAATGAGGCAATGTTTTTAATCCCAGTGGGTAATTTATTGTAAATTTTTGGCCCCATATAACTGAGGGGATACATGAAAGATTTTAAGTCTATGTTGAACTAGTTTTATAATATTTTTGAATCTTGTGTTATGTGGATGAGATTGTTGACAGTCCATGAATATGTCGAAATCACTTTTAACCATTAATGCCAATTTGTAAATATAAGAGCTAAAAAAAGTTAAAATTTTAAAATCTATTACTTATTTAATACGCAAGCAGGTTTTTTGTGACAATTACTCCTCCGAAACTACTGAACCGATTGACATGTTCTTGGTGTCATTGGAAAGAGCGTAACGTGAAGTTGTGCAGGAAACTTTCTTTTCAGGGAAATAATTAGAGGGTGAGGCCCTGGGGCCCTTTAAAGTTTCGTATTTCTCCATAAGATTAACATGGGAAACAAACATTGTTATGAAACTCCAGCTGTTGTCAGAAATTAAAAGTGAAAAGAACATATGTTAATTGTAAACAGTCAATAAGTTTGCTAATTTAACAGTTAGTTTGCCACAAACATTTACTTACTCGGTTGAAATGAAAAAGTTACTATTTGAATTTGGGTTGGCGTAATTATTACAATGGGAAAAAACGAGAGAGCCTGGATAAATTGATATACTAAAAAGAAAACTGAATTAACACTGTGCTGCATTTCTTAGTAATCATTGAAAGAGACGATTTGCAAACTATGGAAACATAGGAAAGTCATAGAACACCACCAAGGGGAAGAAATAGAAATAATGTGTGTTATAAACACTAAAAAACAAAATCAGCTTTCGAAAAATGATAAGATATTTACAAGAAATGTTGATTATATCGATCTGTTATGTACATCTTGAGTATTCCATAATCTTTGAGTCGAATCTTTTATAGTCATAAAAAAATATGACTGTTATTCGTTTTAAGATAACGCTTGTAATACTTAGCAATTGCTCGATTTCGAGCAACAGGGACACTAGTTAATAAATAAATCTTTACAATGAGTTCTACGGGAGACTCTGGCCATTAATCTTACAGCTCTTTTTTGGAGAATAAATATTTTTGTGGCCTGGCTTGATGAGCCCCATACAGTAATTCCATAATTCATAATCGATGAAAAATATGCGTGATATACTACTATTTGTGTTTCTAGATTAGTAGTATCCCAAATTATTGTGAGAACAAATGTTGCTGAGCGTAGTCTTTTTGATAGGTTTTTAATGTGTTTTTGCCAATTTAGTTGTGAATCGATTTCTATTCCCAAATAATTTATTGACTGTTGTGAATGAATTGTAGTTAAGTTTGTATTTACAATTATTTCTTGGTTAATATTGGATGCAGAAAACTGAATTAGTTGAGTTTTTGCCACATTCATGGACAGGCCATTTACTACAAACCAATCCCCAAGGAGTTGAAATTGCTTAGTTATTGAGGCTTGTATGAACTCACTGTTTTGTCCTGGGCAAATTAAAGCGGTATCATCTGCGTATTGAAAGGTGGACATCTTAGTAGCATTGCATAGATCATTAACATAAATAATAAATAAACAAGGGCCGAGAATGGAGCCCTGAGGAACTCCATTGGGGTTAATGTTTCACTCTGATTTATAATTTCTCTGCATTTTTTGTACAATAAGTCTTTGTTTTCGGGTCTTTAAAGACTTAAGTTGATTCACCTAACTGCGATGAATAGAGAGAAATAATAACAATTTTGAGCATATAGCATTGTTTAATGAGTAATAAATAAAAGTGAAAACAATCACTATTGCTTTGATTACAAAATATGGTTGATCATTCAATGAATAAAATATTTCTTTTAACGTACATCATCGGAGTTATTGTTAGTAAATTCAGTACTACAAATAATTTGTTTGATATTTCTCATCAATGATGGCGGCTTATTCTATCAAATTATTTTTTAGCTGAGCTATTGTTTTGTTTTCAAGATTGTAGATTGTAAATTTACATGATATATGGGCTTGCTATACCGAAATTTATAACAAGATTTATAAAGTGATAGGCCTACATACCTATAAAATGCTCCATAAAATCCTACTATGTGAGCGAAATTGCACTCATGAAGCACTTTCAGCTCTCGGATGATCTGTTTTTTGATTGCTGGCTTTACCTCCAGATGAATTAACTAGAGCAACAGAACAAGGTGAGGCTATAACAAACTAGTTGGCTATCATAAAAAATAAATATCGTATCTGTCTCCAAAGATCATGGATTTCGATGTTGATACACTGCAGCATACATTGTAAATTTCATTCATACACTTATGTTATATTCAATTAACTTAAAATTGTAATGCATGTAATTGTCATACAACAATAAATGCTTTAGTTTCATTATTATGTACGATATATTCTGATACAGAAATATTCTGATGCAGAAAATACTTCACATTTTCTAGAGTTAAGTTTTATCTGTATTTTCCTAATCTTAAGATAGCAGCTATGGTTATCGACAATTGTACGGGTTTTATGTTTAGGCACTCCACTATACAGTAGACTACTCTCAATCTACAACTTGCCTTTATAAATATGTTCAAAACAAAATCTTAATATATATTATTCACTACTTGGCTCTCAAATTGTCACTCCACATTTTTGTAGAGTGACAGGGAATCACTCTGTAGAAATCCTACACTAAGATGAAATTAATATTTTATGTTTTCTTAAGTATCTTGGTTGCTTTTAAGCCTCTGGACTCTAGTTGAACTGTACAAACTCTATCCCTTTCCAAACAAAACTCATAACAGACTGCTCTCATTCAAAAACTGTAAACCCGGAACCTTGCCTAAACTAGGAAAAGCCAAAACATCAGATGTTAATAGAAAGAAGTTAAAGAGTGAATACTTTTTCCATTTCCCGCATTGCCATCTACATGTTCAGCTCTTTCAGAAATGTGGCACTAACTGTTACAATGAGAGTCTACTCACTTTCCTAGCCATTATGAGTCCGCTAGGTATGTGCCGCACTTTCATCACTACTCCTCCGTTGCCGGCACCCAACTCCCCCAGCTTCTCCAGGTCGTCGTCCGTCAACTCTCCGATCTTCTCCTTCTGACAGAGGAAGAACTCCATCCTCTTCCTCTGTGTATCGTCCATCCCCAGCTCCTCTAGTCGCTCCTGGAGTATCTCGATGCTTGATTTGCCACAGAGAGAACTGTGCCTGTACATGTTAGCCACTCAACATTCCACATGAGAACTCGACAGATGCAGCTCTGGAAAGGCTTGTTAGACCAACAACTGAACTTAGTTTTAAAAAAACCATTTTCAAAACTTTAACCGACTTTTAAAACTGTTTCGTGTAACAGATAAAGGAGTTTGGTTGAATAATATTTACTTAAAGTTGAAAAAATAAAGAAAACTAACATGTTTAAACAAACTCAAAATTTATAATAAGGAAGAAAAATGTAAATATGGCTGTTAAAACTTGTATTATATGTACTGTGCTTTAAATGTAAAAAAATAATATTATTAAAATTATTTTCTGTGATTTTACAAATTTCAAAGACTCCATTCATAATCGTAAAAAGATTAATACTTCATGTATATGACTAATAAGTTGAGTTGATTTGGAGGAAAGGCAGAACTATTTATTCAGAAAGAATAAGATTATACATAATGGATTCTCTCCTAACACCACTCAAGCAAGGCCACACTAAAAAAAAACAGGCCGTAATGCTCGTCAAGCATGACGTCGCAATAGAAGATGGCAATGACATAATGTTTGCCGTTTGCGATCAGCTGCTTGTTTTAATCTTTTCTTGGAAAATAAATAAATACCTACGTCATTGCCGTCTTCTATCGTGACGTCATCCTTGACGAGCATTACGGCCTGTTTTTTAGTGTGGCCTTGCCTCAAGGAATATAGGAACTAATCTTTAAATGCTGGAATACATTTTCTTGCAAAATAAATGTACAATTTGCACATGCAATGTATAAGCCTCAAGTTATTCAAGAGGAAGACATTCTTTCCTTTGTTTGCACCCGCACTTCTCTGAAGCAGCAGTTTTGGTGATTCCAGAATGATTCCCTGAAATTCAATTATGATAATCTTACCAAAACTGACTTGTTCTTCAGAAGATGTTTACCTTTATAATAGTTTAAACAGCATGTCAACTCCTGAAACAATTTTAGTAACAGACACTTCATATTTCCTATTGAATAAAGGAAGATATTGTCTTATTTGTGAGAAAACATTTTGCACAAAACAATTTCAGCTCAATTTCTTTTGAAATTCAAGTGATTTGATGTGGTCATAAATTATATAGGCTTGGTTTTAAATAGTAATATATTACCATGAGACCTACTCAATAAGAGCTTATTTCCTTACCACACTACTGTTACGTTTACTATTATAAAAAAATCTATTTTAAATTAGTAAATAACAAAGCCTACAAACTAAACGTAAAAAAAAGTTAAATGTTGTTTTTAGTCGCAACCAACAGTTGTTTTAGCATACAATTTCTGTCAGTTAGGAAATATCTTATCAAACTGTGGCTATCACATCCTCGAGTTGAGATATTTTTAAACATATAACTTGTTTTTCACTCTTATTTTCAGGAAACAATAAAAGGAACAAAAACCAGCGTTACGGGTAAACTACAATTATTATAAAAATAATAGACAACCAGTCCTGAAGTAGAAGATATACAGGGTGATTGATATAAGTGTGCCAGCCATTTTATTCGAAAACTATAAGAGATATCAAAAAAAGTTAAATGGTAAGTGCTATGGATTTTCTATTTGAAAAATTGTAGTCAAGTCAAAAAAATTATTTTAGCCGCCATTTTTCCAATATGGCCGCCAACGTTGATTTTTCTTATGGAACACCCTGTATTTTATTACGTATTCTGGTAGAAAATGTAATTTTAAGACGATTTTATTCTTGTGATTTTTTTCATAAACCTAACCGTTTCAAAGATAATAATGGTTAAAGTTTTGAAATTTCTGCATGAGAAAGAGTTTCGATAAAGGCCTAAGCAAGCATGCCAGCTGTTTTGTTCGAAAACCATTCAAAATTTAACAATTTAAACCATTATTATCTTTGAAAAGGTTAGGTTTATGAAAAAAATCACAGGAATAAAGTCGTCTTAAAATTACATTTTCTACCGGAATACATCATAAAATACAGGGTGTTCCATAATAAAAATCAAAGTTGGCGGCCATATTGGATAAATGGCGACCAAAATAATTTTTTCGACTTGACTAAAATTTTTTAAATAAAAAATCCAAGGCACTTACCATTTAACTTTTTTTGATATCACTTATGGTTTTTGAATAAAACGGCTGGCACACTTATATCAATCACCCTGTATAAACATAATACCTAAGGCTATGCTTTATGATGATCAAAGTATAACACCTAGGTTAAGTGAATTGAACTGTTATTGATTAAATAACGGAACGTAAATAAAAGGAACGTCTTATAACACTTAAAACATATATTTACGCTTATGCTGTTACACACTCCAATATCAGACCCAATAGGCGAATGACAAGAATCTTCATTGGCGTCCCTACTTATACCCTATTGACTACCGGAAGCACCGGCCCATACATTTTTATAAGTACAACTGGAATCGAAATTTACTTGTTCATTAATCAACTTATTTCTATTTTTACATTTTCCTTATAAATATACAATTCTTCCCAAGCATTCATTACATATCCTTTTTTACACTTCTGTAAAATACATAGACTATCCTCCATTTTTCCTATTGAGTGGCCATTTTGTAACAGGTGTTGTGCGACATTTGATCTTTCCGGTTTGTTGTTCCTCCACGCAGATATGTGGTTTTTGAAGCAGTTAACGAAGCTCAGTCTGTCCAATGTAGAAGCGATCACAATCGTTACAATTGATTTTATAGATTAGATTTTATAGGGTATAAGTAGGGACGCCATTCAAGATTCTTGTCATTCGCCTATTATTGGGTCTAATGATGATTGGAGTGTCCAATCGAAATCGATCACCACTTACCATCTTTTTTGTATATTTACCATCTTGTGAGTATAGGCCTAAGCGTAAATATATGTTTAAGTGTTATAAGACATTTCTTTTATTTGCTTTCTGTAAATTTAATAACACGTACAATGCTGATCAAGAAGTTATTGAATAAAAAACCAATACAAATTGACTGTCTAATATCCAGTGCTAGTTCCTATTCTACAAGATTACCTAAGCTAGGCCTAACATTATAGAGCATTCTGCCTTATATACACTTATAACTTTCCCATTTTTGCATCTGCTTGCTGCTCAAATTTCATTATGCGAGTGGTAATTTTCAAGGATGTGATAAATGTGTAATTTATAAGTAGATGAGCTCTTTTCGCTACAAACAAAAAATGTATAATCATATAAAACAAATTAAATGTAAATACCCTATGGACAACGATTTTCTTTTTTCCTTGCCTGCTTACAATGGCAAAAAATATATCTAATAGATCCCAAAGCTTATGTTTTTGACTCAAGTCTGAAAAGAATTGCATCAAAATATTTACTTTTTTGTTTCTATATTTTGTATTTTGTAATTGCCTTACGTTAAACAACATATCTCCAGAAGACTAGGTTAACAATTTTATGGAATTTTGTCCTTGAAATAAATAAATATACAAATAGAATTTGTAGATCAATATTTTACATTTCCAATTTATTTAAAATAACAAAATATTGGAAAAGAAAAATATTGTTGCATAGGGCCTGATTTAAAACCTACGACATTTAAAGAGAATGTCTATCTATGTAACTGTGTAATGTTTAGGGGACTCACTTATACACTCCCTGCTTTGTTGTTTTTTTAAGGAATGTTAACATGTAGCTTTACAACAGTAAAACTATAAAATTCATCTATATGCCTCATTAATATAGACAACAATACGACAATGAGTCTTAAAACGAATGATTGAGTTGTGTTGTTCCTAACCTATTTATTGGTGGTGGCTTGACCGATACGGACTCACTAAAGGCGGTGTTTCGTGGCGTCAGATTCAACTGAGGCTTGCCACGGGGTGACCATCTACGGACAAGAATCAACACAACTTAGACACTCACTGCTGAACCTCCTCACACATTCACAGTTGTTCTACATTTAAATATGCACCCATTGTATAATACAAACTAACTAATACAATAAAACTTTCATTTCAAACTATCAAAAGCCCTTCCAGCAATGAATATATTTTTGTTGTAATTTTCTAAAACCTCTGTCTATTTTCTTGAGTAAAACTTTTGTGCCAGTTTATTATTATTGTAATATCAGAGTTATAAGTTTCAAGTGGCTGCAGATAATTTGTGAATAAGCCTAAATTTATTCAGCTAAAATGAATGCATAATGGCACTCAAGACTGGACAAAATAAGTTTGTTTTTAAGAAAAAACATTTGTCACTTTGCTAGCCAAGCTTTATGTGACTTACCACTAGATCTTTCTATGTCACATTTAACAGCTAAATGTCAAGGGTTCACAGTAGTACAGAATCTGTTTGTTATTAAATAATGCAAGCAATAGAGTCTAACTTTTCAACAAGATATAACATCCACATCATTAATTTCTTTGTGTAACGACTCAGAAAGATTTGATAGTTAAAATTTCAGTATTTAAGATCTAGCTGTATTATACAATTGGTAACATGTTTCCTTAACAAAAACAAGGGTAGGGTATTCCTTTGTTATTTTTCTTCCATCTAATATTAAACTTTGGTTTACTGTTGTTTGAAACAAAACTTTTAAAGACAACAATATTTCAAAACAAGTAGCCTAGGCTAAAGAGGAAAATAACGGTATTAGGAAATATTTTTAAATCAATGAACAACTGTGAATAACAAATCTAATCGTTCAATCCAATATTTCAATACAAGTTTACAATGAATATTTTATAATTTTGTTTTTTGTACCTGGATTCAAGACTTAATAAAACAAATTTTAAAGGTTTTCAGGTGGTTAAATTTAAAAGTATCACAGAAACATTTTTTGACAAAAGTACGGAAAATTTTGACTTAACCAGAAAAATAGGGGCAGGACTGTTCTAGATGACCTAGTTTCTGGATAAAAAATTCCTTAGAATGTAAGTTTAGCAGTTGACAGGATTATCTTTGTGACAATCATAGCTGATCACTGGAGAAGGAACAAGTATTTGTATCAACGTTCCAACTTAGCAGAGTGTTTCAAGTCACAATCAGTCTAGTATAATGAAAGTCCACCACCTAACTTGTTCCCTGCTAGAATCCCTTTGGCAGTACGGTCGGAAATGTCCTCGGCGCGCTAGTGAATCAGCGAACGCAATAGCATTAAAATATTTCAGTCTTGACAGCGGTGGTGATGGTGCTGTGTTACCCCGAGAGTGAAAGTAGTGCACTGAAAAACTCACAGATAGCAACACTACCTGGATCCGTTGCCAGTGTCTTTGTAATGTGGCTCGGAAGTGGGGTCTTGCTCGGAGAGAGAGAATCCCTGAAAATGGGACAAAAAACGTTGCCAGACGGGTTTTACGGGAAATTTTATTACAAAGTTAAAGTAAAGGACCGGCACAACATAGCTGACATAGTTTAGTTGATCCCCGATAAATGCGGAGGTCACAATAGACCAACTTGTATAACACTGCACCGTTACTCCGACTGTAGTTGTATGCACACTGTGCCGATCGGAGTCGTCAGCAGCAAACGTGTTAACAATACTTTTCTGTAACATACCTCTTAATAAAACTTTTCTTCAATATAATGCGTCTGACTAGGTACAAGAATTAATTTGTGTTTGTAATAATTACATTTCTAACTAGCCATCTTTCATCAGATTCTGAGCATAACTAAATTTTTTCACTGTGGTTGTGTTGTAGACAACAAATTTTGTAACTACTCATAGAACCAAGTACATTGAACCAAAACAATGATTAAATTATTTACTTTGGTATAGGCCAATTGTAATCCACCAAGTATATAAAATTCATGTTATTCAGGTCAAAAATGGAAGTATCTTTTCCTTTAGTTCACGATATAAAACCAAGCATACGCAGAAATGGAATTAACAAATTTAATGTAGATGAAGCCTTGAATCCAGATAGTTCAAAGGGGACAACAAACATTTTGTCAGTGTGTTTCAATGTGTAAGCACATTTCATTCTTGGGATTAGGTTTGTTTGAACAGATTTATTAATAATTTTAAACATTGAGCTAAACACTACTATGGTTAATATATATACTGTGTTAGTGTTTGTTTAACCTCCATTTTTGTTAAACACTACAAATACCTTGATTAATAAACAAACCAACTTTGACCAGAATAATACCCTCAACACTAAGTAAATGTAACTAGCAAGACTTGACAACGAGGGTTATTTTGATGAGGTATTTTTAAGCTACAAACTACAAACAAATGTGTACATTTTTGCCTTATGGATTTTGTTAGGAGGTTCAACAGCAAGCCAAAATAATTGGAAGCAAAACAAAATAAAAATCTAACATTTTCCATGCACTACAAAAGAAAAGTAAACATAAGGTAAAAAAAACTGTTTTGAAAAAGATTACAGGGAAATGTGTTTCTGATAAAGCTGGTTAAAATTGAACGTTCGCACCAATGTTCTACTGCCAAGTCATTTCCTAATTGGATCATTTAACGGACGGATGGATCACAAACCAGTAGGCCAACAGTAGAACTTAGTTTAAAAGAAATGGGTGTTTGGTACTTGATTAAAACATGTTAAATACAAATAGTATTCAAGCATATAATTTTTGTATTCTAAAAATTTTTCAAGGGATTTTCGATGCTTTCCCTTTTTTGTAGCTTTAATAAGATTTTCTTTGAGAGAATAAGTTCTATTTCGACATTAAGATTGAGTTAAATAGGAGTGATGTGCTATTTACCTACATAATGAAACTATCAAATCAATTGCTTCTTGATCTACCGATATATGATATTTATCAGGCGTTATCAGATTATTTAAATGTGGTTTATAGTTCATAGAGTTCTGATAACATACCTTTTCCTACATAAATATGGATATAGTGAAGAATAGTAAAAATCATTTGATCCACCTGAACCTTAAAATTAGGCCTTAAAGCCGGTTTTCCTAGGCGCGGAAGCGGAGCGCAGACTCCTCTTGTGTTAGGTAATTTAATGTTACTTTTTCCTAGAAGTGGAGCGGAATGACATGTTTATCCGCTTCTCCACTCTCCGCGCTTCTCTTCAGCTTCTAGGAAAACTCGGCTTAATGTGAATTGTAGTAGAAACATCGCCATAAAATTATTCTCATTTTCACCAAGATCTGTTACTGAAGTAATTATCTCTGTTTTTTTAATCTTGCCAAGATTTTTTGGAACCCAATATTGACACTAAGAATTTCTAATAGTTTTTCTCCTATTTTATTTTGTTTTTCAAAGTGGTGGATTATAGCACAGACTATAGACCAATTAATGGGTCTATTGTCTGTGATTATAGGCACCATCAACACTTGATTTTAATTTTAACATTTTAACTATAAAAGAGACACTATAAAGTGAATGAATTTTGGTAGGTAATAAAAAGGAGTATCCCCTGCCACAGCAAACCTGCAGACTAAGCGAATTTCCAATTGCCTGATTTGATGTTCACTTAGCCTAAATATTATTTAAAATTAAAAAACATTAGGTTAAATGAGTACCTAGGTTTGCTGCTACAGGGAAGGTAAAGATTGTGTTAATTAGTAAAATATAATAGCTTAATATAAAATAAATAAATGAATGAATGAATGAAAATTTATCATGTTTGATCAAAATATATCCATAAAAGGAGCAAACTACAAGAGTTTACTTATTCTCCAAAAGAATACAGTACCTAACATGGAAATTTTAAGTTTACAATTTTTTGAATAATCTCCGTAACCTAATAATTGTACAAAAACACTTTATAATACCCTATACCTTATTATGTGTTTTTTAAGCTCTACAAAATTGTCTGGAGAGAAATTGAGAAATTTTTTGTTTTTATGGTCAAAAATGGGAAAAAACATTGTTCCCATGGCCCGATTGTGCTGGTTCGAGAACTCATTCAAGTTCATTCCGCCATACACCTTCAAGCCAAATTTCATCAAAATCGGACAAAAATTACTCGTTATCACGTTCTCGGACATATATATAATTATATAGGTACATATATAAAAATTTCAACGAATAGTGTTTTTGGCCCCTAGGTACATCAAAATGAAAAAGTAAATCGGCCCCGGGCCTAGGTCTTACCGAGCCACCTACGGTAATAGCTACCACCCTATAGGGAAATTCACTAATATTTTACAAAATTACAGATGTTTCATAATATAGTTTTTCAGTCACGGACACTCAAGTTTTGTTGTCAAAATGTTCTAAACCAACATAAGTAACTAACTAAACTTGCTGTAACATTTTAAAATTCTGTTTGGTATCCCCCACAAGCCTTTTCTTTTATCAAGCGGAATTACTCTAATTAAAATTAAAATTACAATGATAATTATTACGTATGAAATTAACTTTAATACATCACATTTTGCTAAAGGGGGTAGTATTCCAGTAGGGGACACGGCTCCCATTATTGGTTAGTTGGCAGATTTCGTGACAAAACATTTCACCTGGGCGGGGGGTGGGGTGGTTTTTTGGGGGTTAGTATTTCGCATCCTCAATTTAACCAACCCAAGTTTAGCGAGTCAAAGCTTCATTCACAACTAACTTATGGGACATTTTACAACCAAACCAGATAAATAGCATTCACATTGTCATAATAAAATTAGCCTATTTTACTACCTGCCACAGTATGATATATAATTTCTGGACAACTGTTGAGAATAAAGCTACACTCCTTGACGATACAATAACTTAGTATCACACACAGTATACAATTTGTGTGTGTATGGTTCCCCATACAAATTTTATAATCACTTCTTGAAAATGTTAGATATTATTTTTTGGGATTTTTATGTACGGTATTGTTTTTTTGTTTTATTTCTGGCAGTGTCATTATCAATTATCATTGCCTCATCATTTGACGTAGGTATGCCAGCCACAAACACTGCTCAGAAGTATTTATTTGCAATGATTTCCACACAAAACTTTTAAATTTGAAACATGATAGGCTTCACATCATCTGAAAGTTTTCACTTCATTTTCACTTATAACTTTACCGTACTTCTTTAGTGTCAATTTTACAGTAATGACTTGGTTTGAAAAAAAAACAATCATATTTTACTTGCAGTCCACATTTTTGGGAACCCTGTGTGATATTATGGTTAAAATTGATAATTCCCAGAACCATGAAATGAGCTATGAAGCAACTATGACAAGACAGCTAGGTAGACAAATGAATTGGTGGCAGGTTAACACTTATGATCTGGAATGGCACAACCATGATTAGTTCTACAATCATTCTCTTTGACCACGAAATCTGCTCGTTTTACATTTCTGAACAAGGCGAAGATTTAAAATATTCTTTAATCCTGCTTATTTTCATAAGCTATCTGTCAGAGGTCGCAAAATTTAGTATAGATGAACATAGTCAAAAAATATGCACAGAACTTTAAATTCTAACAAATAAAAAATTAGAGAAAACATGAGTAATATATTGCAAAAGTACGTACAAATGTAAAAGTACACATGACCAAAAATGCTCTTTTAAATTTCTTACAAATAAGAATAAAGATAGGCTATAGTCTTGAAGATAAGATCCTTCAAAAATGACATACTGTAACAGTATGATTACCGGTTGAAAGTAGAAGCACAGAAAACATACTACTATAACCCAGAATGCCAACCGCATGGTAAAAAGCGTTAAGTACTTTCTTTGCCTGTCAATTCGTAGGCAGCGCCACCAGCGTTGCTATGCTGAGTGCATTGCAACGCTGGTGGCGCTGCCTACGAACTGACAGGCAAAGCTCTCTCTAAGTACTTAACGCTTTTTCCATGCGGTTGGCATTCTGGGTTATAGTAGTATGTTTTCTGTGGTAGAAGGTTGGAAGTTTAAAATTATTGAATACAAAACCATTCTGTTTTACTTACAGACAAAAATATTGAATTATTATTTGATTTTTGAAAATATCAGAATTTAATTTAAGATGTGGATAATTAGGTGCAATTAATTAATTCAAACATAATCCTATCCTGATTTTTGTTTTCATATTGGAAGACACAAATGTCTTAGCATCTAATTCACGGTAAACTACAAGATTAAAAAAGTATTCTATAAAAATCCAAATTCTGGCTTTTATATTAATTTTATATGGCTTTTAAAAAAATATATAGGTATGTAATAAGATCAAACATCAAGCAAACAAGTTGTTTCCATTAGTAATACTCTAACAGAGAGCAAAAAGTGTCAAAAGCTCTCGTTGACTTGTGTTTTATTACACAACTACAACCATCCTAAAAACATAAAATATATAAAACTAGTCTGAGGGTTTCAGCTCGTTTTTTGTTCCTGTTGATTTATACAGCATATATAATTACAAGGTTTGTAATTTGTGGTTAACTCAACCACAATTTTCTAATATTTCATTAAGGTGGTACAGACTACACACCTCATGATGGAGAGATTTTAGTATAGCATAAATCACACATGTTAATATTTTACAAATGTACATTTGATTAAGCGATTGATTACCGTACCAATACTTAAAACGGGGTTTAACAACTTGGAGTGCTGATGAGAACAAAAGGCGGAATTTGTGGTCAAAGAGTTTAGGATGAACTACTTTATAATGAAGCAGAGCACAGAAAGCATCGGATCAGGTAATGAGACAGCTAATACAATACGGATCTTTGAATAGACACTAGGATCATTCCAGTGCACTAAGCCATGGCTAATTTGTTCATATCACTTGTTGACAGGGCAGTTTTTCTTCTATGTAACATGAGTCAAAAGTCATGTAGGCCTACAGAGCTGTGACGTAATGGTTTTGTCTTAAAATTTAAAGTACGTACAAACAAGTAAGGGTACTTTCCTGTTAAGGGAACATTCATTATTATCAATGATTTCTTTTCGATATATCGATATTTTTGTTTTCTTTGACGATCCATATTCCATCTGTTTTAATATCTTCAAACACATTTAAATTTACAGACAAACAGACATAGCAAATATGACTAAAAGTTATACTTGGTTCAATAACCGAGTTATTGAGTTATAGCTTGTATTAGAGAATAGGAACTAATCTTGTTTAGGTAAAAATAATAGCCATATATTGGATCAAGAAATGAAACTATTCTAAACCAACCTAACATAACTTCATAACTAACCAAACTTTCTGTAGGCTAAGTTACCGTTTCAAAATTCTGTTTCATTACAGGAAAGGCATATGGGGAATAGGCTATAGAACGGAATTTTGAAATGTTACAGCAAGTTTGGTTAGTTAGGTCAGTTTAGAACAATTTCATTTCAATATAATATTTTTTTATTGTTTGTTGATCAAATCAAATTAAATAATTTTATTGAGCTTAAATTGACAATAGGCCTACATATTGCATTAGCTAAGTCATGGTACAAATGTAGGCCTACAGTATTAAAATTTATAAAGTTTTTCTTGATAGGCCTACTGAACAATATTTATCGTAGTTGTCAGCTGATAAGTTTCAATTTATTAATATCGATATATTGAATAAAAAATAAATTATCGATAGGCCTATATTTAAAAGAAATCATTGATAATAATGAATGTTCCCTTTAACGGGAAAGCACCCAATTATGTTACTGGTGTATGTCACAGATATCCGAGATGTTTTGATTGTGAGTTTCCTTGATAAAGCTGGAAGGTGTTTTTTTATTTTTTTTTTTAGAGGGGAGGGGAGTAGAAAGGTTGTTTTGTTGCTATAACAACCCTTAAGAAAGAGCATTTCTAAAGGTTAGCAATATAGGCTCTCCTATTAATATCACAGAACAAAATTTAAGGGTATTAATTTTGATAGGCCTACTAATATTTTGAAAGAATAGTTATGAAGTAACTTACAGTAGATTTATTTTTCTTAAAAGAGTTAAAAAGAAATATTAACTCGGCTATTGAAGTTAGGCCAAATTACCAAAAAAGGTTTAGTAGTCTATCTAAAATACTACCTAACAGTGAAAAAAATTCATGAGGAGCCTCGACAATACATGAAGAATATAATTTGGTCCAAAAACCTGGAATGATTAGGTAGAGTATTTTTTATTGAGAATTTTATTTTAAAAAAAGACAGTGCTGTCTAATTTTAAAGTTTTTCAATAAACGACACCCTACCTACCTAATCATTCCAGATTTTTGTGGCAAATCAAGTTTAGACACTTACCTAAAATTAATCATGTACAAATTAGGCCTAAATAACTATTGGTCTCAAACTAACCAATTACTTAGCTTACGGTAGTCATTTTTGTTCCCTTCATCGGCATTAGTTCCTATAGCTCGCTTTAGTAGACACGCCAATGAAATTTTAAATCATAAAAAGAAACATCCAATTAAATAAGCCCTATAAGTTAAGTATTTTTGGTAAAAATCCCATAATTAGTCAAACTAACAGACATTAAGTTAAGTTAATTTCAAGTCACCCTAATCAAAATTTATATAAATGTTAGACCAAACAATGAATGACAGTAAACCCAGAATAAGATGCATGCCTATTTTATTAAAAAATCCCCAACTAATTATAGTCGACCATAATTTATACCTACATAATTTGCCTCCTGGATTGATTTATTGACATAAAATAAGGTTATGTTATCTTAAGTAAGTCAACTTAGCCAAACGTAGATGTGGGCAAGCCTACATCTACGGTAGACAAAGAATAAGAAGAATTAACCAGTTATTTAATTAATTGGAAAAATTGGAAAGAAAAGGTTAAAAGAAGAACTATTAGGGGTCAATGATCGATTAGACACAAAATGGTATGCTCTGTTGAACCTACATAGAATATGAAGGAAAACAGATCAACATGTAAGAACCCAAGAGATATGAAGGTCAACAATGATATTATAAATTAGCCACAGTGAGCTACTGAAAGGTGTTGGAGATACCTTTTAGCACCGGCTGACACTGGTTCATTATTCTGCTTCCTAAAATATAAAAAGTTTAGGTTAGAATACACTGCGTTCGGGCTAATCCAAGACAGAAATTAAAAAGGAATCACTTTCAAAAGAAACAAAATAAATACCGTTAACTTAACTTGTTTATATTAATTCAATTTAAAATAACTTACTGAGAACTAGTAAGTAGGCCTATGCCTATTTAGCTGACATCTATAGATTTTCTCCATCACATGTAGGCCCAGCTAAGTCCTACAATTTTTACTTCTCATTTAAAACTGGATCAATATAAACAAGCCCATAAGTTACAAAAATGTTATTAAGCCTTAAAAATAATAAAACTTACCCTAAGTTTACCTATACTTACTTTCCTTATCATAAACAAAATATAACTAAACCATGTTATTGTCAAATAAAAATACGATAAGCTTATTTAAGTTAACAACTTCTGTCATAAAGAATAGTCTAGTTGACTTACAAAGTAACACTTGACCTGTGCTTAACACTTATACCAAAACCCCGGTCTGGCAGACCCACGGGAATTTTCATAAACACATGTTGGCAACACTGTTTACTTGGGGGATTCAATTCCCCTAATAGGCCTACCTTGCCCCCTTTTCCTCCCCTACCTGTTGATATAGGCCTAACTTATTGTTTGTTCATTTTCCTTGGGTGCCATGACCTTGACAGGGTTGTCTGCTCATAACATGCCCGTCTCAAAGCCCAGCGTTAATGTTTTTTTAAAGCGGGGTCTCAGTTTGTGTGTTTCTAAGCGGGTCCATTATTTTCAAATGGGGTCTCACAGACCAGGGGTTTCGGTTAGCGTCAGCCTGGGTAGGGTTTCAGTATTAGTGGTAAAGGCTGCACTTTTCTTTACGTCCTCTACACTCATTTGAATGAAAATATCGATCGATATATCGATTGTTCGATAAGTTATATCGTTTGGTTAATTAGGTAAGGTTAACCTAACCTAACTAACCAAACGATATATCGAATGAAACAATCGAACAATCGATAGTTTCATTGGAATGAGTGTAGGACGTAAAGTAAAGTGCAGCCGTAGTAAATCTAAACTTATGACCTAAAATGAGTTTAACGTTTAAAACTGTAATCTCTGGGACTGTAAATGACAAAGTTAGTTTAGACTGAGGTCGACAGTTAGTTGTTGTACCAGTAGGCTAAATTGTGAGACTTAGCAGTTACAGGCTAAGCTAAAACGGAAATTAAACATCACTGGATTAATGGAAAATTAGGCTCTCAGAATAATGGTTTTTATAACAGAAACAATATTACTTACTCCATATCAATAGCAACTGATGCAGAAGGTGATACAACGTCAACTTGCTCAATCGATCCCGGAGGTAATGTCAGGTTTAATTTATTTTTTGGCATGATTCAATAAATCATCACAGGAGGGTGGACACCATAGGCGCTGAGGGATATCATCTAAGTCCGTCAGGCTTAGGCTTGAATGGCCTAGCCTTAACTGATTCTCAATATCTGACACTACACTACGTACTTGACAAAAATTCTGTTAACCTTATTCCATTACCAGGACACAATTTAATTTTATTAGTCTGTTACTATACAAAGATAACTACTTACTCGGTATCAATAGCTACTGTTGCAGAAGGTGAAACAACATTAACTGTATCAACTGATCCCGGAGGTAATGTGAGGTTTAATTTATTTTTTGACATGATTCAATGTATGGACACAGAAGGGTGGTCACCAAGGCCGATGAGGGATATCATTTAGTTTTTAAGGGCTTAGGCTTCAAATGCCTAGCCTGCTTAGAGCTCGAAGATCGTCTGCGGTGATTGGTTATAATGTTTCTTTGGAAATTAATAGGCCTATATTTATTACACACTGATGTCTTCAATTTGTCCTCCTTCTACAAGCGATCAGTTGTCATGTAGGCTAATCCTACTTCAAATCAGACGATAAGAAAGCGCAAGTGCCAGATTGATTTACAAAATAACACCTAGACAGTTTATAAAACTTCCTAAAGGGGGAACTAATTTGAAGTCTGTTGTTGAGTACCACACAATATGTTTTCACTGATAAAACATCACTTGCACACTTTGGGCTTGGGCTGACAGTATCAATATGACGTTTCGACGTTTCGTTTAACGCAAAGGCAAAAGCTAGCCAAACGCTGATTGATTGGCTGGCGGACGAGACGACGACGACGACACACAACAAAACGAACTGAACTGAACTGAGAACGAGAACAGAACAGAACAGTCAACAGAGAACTAGGTGAGTGGGGTGTTTGGAATGGGCACACGGAAGGGACTAAGGCTTAAGGTGTAGTGACGTCATATCTCTAGTGGCTAATGTATTCTCTTGAGGCAACACGATTACCGTAACGAAACGATGTGATTTCAGCGGCGTTCGTGGCATAGTTGGTAACGTCACGGATTGAGGTTCAGGAGGTCCCGGGTTCGAATCCCGCTGGCAGCACTAACTTTTTGTCAACAAATTTTTCATATCAGCAAGTTTGGTTGGTTAGGTTAGGTTAGGTTATGACAGTTTAATTTTATAATACTAAATTTTAAAATTAGTTTTATAACTAATTAAAAATTAGAAGTAATCATTAATTAGATTTTTATATTATATAGTTTTTATATTATCAGCAAGTCTGGTTGGTTAGGTTATGTTATGACAGTTTAATTTTAAAAATTAAAAATTAATTTTATAATTTTAAAACAATATTTTATAATTAAAAAGTTAATTTTATAACTAAAAATTAAAAAAAAATAATTTAAATTTTGTCAAATTAGCAGTTCTAGCGGCGAACGCTGACACTACAGGATATGTTAGCCTTAGTCCCTCCCGTGTGCCCCAAGGAAAAAATGTGGTTCGGATTCCACTATAAACTGTAGGTCCCTTAGTCGCCATTAGCTGTATGGGCTATTAATTAACAGCTGTGTCTAAGGAATATGTCGGCCTTAGTCACTAACAAGACTACAAGATCGCGCCACTCATCTCCATTCCTACTTGGCTTAAAATACCACATTTTTTCCTTGGGGAGAGTGTTGTACCTTTGACCATCTTGTACCTTTGACCACCGGTCATATAGTGAAATCTAGAGGCTGAATAGGGAAGCTAATGAAACTAGTTCATAGATCAGCCACCAGAGGACAACTTCACCTTGCATTCTTGCATTGGAGATTGAAAACTGTGTTTGTTGGAAGATATTTTAGTTTATAATCATTTTTGCTACTGAAAAGTAAAAATTTGTTGACTTATTGTTTGTTTTATAAAATGTATATTTTTCTACTAATAGAAGTGAAAGTGAGGGGTTATTATTTTATGGTTATCCTCTAACTTCTCTTGGATGTTTGAAACTGATATTCATCACATATCTTTTGAGAATATCCTTAAATATAATACGTGAAGGCGATTTTTGAAAACACTACTCCTCCGTTAATAATGGACGGATTTTTACAAACGACGTGTCAAAATAAAGTATTTTTTGTGTGGACGCCCCCTTTCACCAATTCATGTAATAAAAATCCTCGGGCTTTGCCCCACAGGCCATCAAAGTTGGATTTTCTCCCATAAGATTAACATGGGGGAATTTAAATATTTAATTGGAAACTTTGTCCCCACTAATTTGAGAGAACGGCTGGGCGTAGAAACTTGGTAGAGGTGTCCAAAGAAAGGTCTTGGTCTGTAGATGAGATATCAAAAGAAAAACGGTACTTCAGTATTTAACGGAGGCCACATTTTGTCAGCGCGCTGCGGCGGTTATGTTAGGTTGGGTTATCATAATAGAAAGTATCGTTCGGTTCATAACGAAGCGAGGAAAGTCCTACACACATAATATTTACGATAACCCAACCTAACATAACCGCCGCAGCGCGCTGACAAAATGTGGCCTCCGTTTAATACTGAAGTACCAGAAAAACTAAGCAAAATCCCTTAGGGCTCTGCCCCAGAAGCCTTTAAAGATCCCTCCACAGAGTTGTTTACATTTTGGCCATGAGAATAATACTTTTTAATAAAACAGCTGTTCATTTTTAAATTGTATTTCAAACCACACATATTTATTGGGTTACTGAATTGTACCAAATAAGTATTTGCAATGTTATTTTCTGATTTTAAAATTAATTTTCCTTTTTATCATGTCATGTTTTGCAATATAACGTTCTATTACGAAATCAGTGGAAAATCCTTTGATAACAGAAATTCTTAAATTATTTCTTATTGAACTATCTTATATCTATTGTACGGGTTGGTGTCTGCCTTTTTCACCACTTTTGCCTAAATTTTATCATATTATTCTACACATATCAAATATTCATGTAGAAATATCTGCTCTTATCGTGTCTAATAAAATCCAAACATAGAAACATTGCCTAAAATGGTACCCATCTTGACAAATTATTTGCACCTGCCTATATTACGGACTTTGGCGCACTGGGTTGGTAACATTATTGAAAATAACACGACATTTTGGCTGTAAAATATGGTACAAAGAGAAAATACTATTTTAGGAGCTACTGCCATGACAGAATTAAAGGTCATATTCCTTTTAAACTAGACCTCATAATCCTTTATAAGATACGTTGATTTACAATGTAAACGTCAATATATACGCAACAGCCAATTTACAGTATTTTTTCTTTTTGGAAATGTCCCATTGCTATGTCATTTGCATTATTTGTTGCCAATGAAGCCGCAAGACCATATAAACTAGGAGGTCCCTAACAGTTTAAGAATAAAAGCCAACTTCACTTCAAGTATTCCACTACACCTATCATTCCGTAGAGAGATTATATTGACAACTTTATGTTATTGATAAGGCTGAGACAACTAACTGACATCCCCCATGTCAAGGAATTCCAGCTTTAACAGTAACCCCACAATAAATTTCTCATAACTATGCTAGAGGGTTCATTCATTGGCACAGAAGTACGATATGAACTGACGCGACGTGACGAAGGAAAAATCAAACTTACACTGTAACGGACATACCTCCCTTTGAAGTTAGAACATTTCTTCCCAAAAAATATTTTCATTTCAAATAAAATCATATTACACTGATGAAATCACAGAAGTGTTTAACTACAAAAGACCCACCAATACGATTTTAATACTATTTAAAGGTTCTTCCAAAGGAAGAGATATCATATAACATACTAATAATAACTCCGATGAGTCAAATGACATACGGTATAGGAAATATTTTAATCATTGAATGATCAACCGAATTTGGCAACTAACGCAATTAAAATCATTATTGTTTTCACACTTACTACCCTTTAAACAATCCTAAATGCTCAAAATATGTATATTTCACCCAATTTATCGCAGTTAGATGAATTAACGTAAGCCTTGAAAGTAACCGTCGATTTCGACGGGTTTCCCCTAGTATATATATAATGGCGGGAAGCGCTAGTGTCACCCAACACTGCCAAATCAAGTGGATAAGCACGTCAAAGAGAATTTTTCAATTTTGCAGTGGACTTTTTATCCTCAGAAGTAGAAAAAAACATTTTTTTATCTTGATGAAATTAATAATAAGTTCAACTTTTTGTATCTGGTCTTATAATTTAAAAACTATCATGTACGATATATATATATTTGTTTTTTCCTACCTGTTTTGGGCTGAAATCGATATGCTGGTCAAAGGTACAACACCCACTGGTCAAAGGTACAACTGCATGTTGAACCTTTGACCACCATGTTCTTTATTACTAAAAATAGGTTAAAACTTATGACAAGGAACTGGAAAAAATATTTAATCCATGGATAAAACAGTCAAGTATCATCGTTGATTGTTTTTAAAATAATTGGAGCTTTCCTGTCCCTACAAAAAATGTTTAAGTGAAAACTGGTCAAAGGTACAACACTCTCCCCTATATACGAATTGGTCTAATTATCAGGATAGTACTGCGGATAGTCGTAGTACTCACCTGTGCGGACGTTAATCCACACCAGGGAGTATCGCATCCACAGTGCATGCCTATAAATATCCACAATTCGTGACCTCCAAGTAGCTGGATTACAGGACGACGCCACCCGTCCCAGTCTGAAGATGTACGGGCCGGATTTTTACCCCCGGATTTTTATCCCCCAGAATTTTACCCCCTGGCCGATATTAGAAATGGAATGATTGATTTTGTTATTTCTGTTTTATTATTAATTGTAAACATTTCATTATTTAGATAGCCTATCTTTATTTATTTATTTTGTAAAGAAATGTTCGAAACAATTATCATTCAGTTGACTGTTTATACGTCATATTCCTAATACTATAATCTCAAAATTAAAATTTAAAAAATGTTCGATTAGTTAATGTTACAAATAAATTAATATAGGCTACTTAATAATAAAATGTTTACTTTTAAATTAAAACAGAATGAAGATAATTAATCATTCTCACTAATTTATACATCTGGCCAGGGGGTAAAATTCCGGGGGTAAAAATCCGGGCCGTACACTCTAGGTTTTTATAATTTGATGTGTTCTGATTAAATTCACAACTGTGAAAATATATGTTTAATTCCGCGTTTAATCCATCGAGCTGATGTCGCGAAACTCAAAAGTTTGCCGCCGGAATTTTACCCCCTGGTTTGCCCAGGGGGTAAGATTCCAGGGGGATACAAATCCGCTACCCCTAACCTACACCACATCCCGGTCAAGGTCGAGCTTCTTGGCGTGGAGAACACCCTGGATGTACAGTAATGTGACACACAGGTCCAATTGTCCTCACCCTCCATCATCATCGGTATGACCGTGTCCACCGACAGCAGTCCTACAAATTGTTGAGGCGCCAGGCGGGGCCTTTCCCAACGCTGGCAGTGGAAGAAAGTATGCATATCAGCGTATTCTGACCATGTGAAAGGATCCATAACGTGAAAAATAACAAACAAGCGTTTTAATCTGACTAAGGAAACCAAATAACGTTATTTACTATAGCTGATTTAGACTTGTTTACAATTCATAACAATTGAATCAGCTGATTTGAACCAAGACATGTGTAAATCAGTGAGTTTAATATTTGTTACCTTGCTAAAACCAAATCGGTAAACCATGTTTTACCTACTTTAGTTTGATGGTAGTTTTTCTGTCAATTCTACCAACAACAATTTAAAACTGCATATCAATTTAAAGCTTATTAAATGAGGAAGTTTTTTTATCTATTTGGACATTGCGTGGCACCAGAATGAAGTAAGAAAAAGGGGTCTTAAAACTTAAACAAAATAACTATTATACGATATTTTTTACTTTAATTCGGCTAGGAACCGATGTATGTAATGAAATATTTTTTCATGTAACCTTGGTTTTATAGCAAATTTAATGCCCTTTCGAATTATTTTTGATATCAATCGCTAGAGTAATTGGTTTTATTTTTATAAAGTAAATACAGTAGTGACAGAAAGTCCAATATTTTTAGAAAACACAAAATTCTCAATTACGACCAAACGGTTCGGAATCGGACTAGGGTTTATTGCAACTTTTTTGTTCCTTTTGATCATTAGAATCCACTGGCGAAGTTATGGGTGTCAGTAGAAACTCACCCTCCTGTATACTACTGGTAGTGGTCCTAACAACATATAAAAAAATCATAACTAGCCGATAGTTAGCGATTTTAATGTATTATGTGACTGACCTCTATAACACTTAAATCTGAGCACCAAACTATAAGCTTCATCAAATTCTTGATCCTCAGACAATAATTTTTGTCTTATGACCTCATTACTTATCCCTAAAATAAGCTTGTCTCTAAGAGCCTCTTTTAAGAATGTGCCAAATTTACATGAACTAGCTAAATGTTTAATTGCTACAACACACTCTGAAAAACTCTCACGAGAATAAAAAGTGTATCTCTCTGCTACCACCAATTTCTTTGGAGAAAAATAGTTCTCAAGCACTTTAACAACTAACTCTTCATAACTTTTGCTATCTACAGCTGCAGATGGATCTAGGTCAGACAAAATAGTAAAAAATTGTGGGCCTACAACAGTTATTAAAACAAAAACTTCAGTATCGTCATCAATCTCATTAGCTTTGAAATAATGCTGAAGCATCATTGCATATATGTTTCAATTGACTCATCTTGAAAAAAAGTGGAAGACAATAACAACTGCATTTTTACAGATAACCTCTATATTTTTATAAAAAATATTAATCAATTGGGTCAGTATAATATTAAATATAAATATAACATTACTACTATTAATTATAACAAATAACACGTAAAACATGCTCTGTTATCACTTTAAAATGAGGACTCATGTTTTTATAGTTACATCATTCAATCTATGAATTTTTAAGGATATTATCAAAGAGTAAGCCTTTAAAAACATACAAAAATACCAGAATTCATGGCATGAATTAAGTTTGAACTACACAATAATTTGTATTTTTTTATTTGACGTAGAGTTGGTTACAAAAAAAAATGACATTATTTAGGCTATTAAATGTTATCAATAATATCAATATAAAAAATATGTTAATTATACTACTTGTTTGGTTGCTAGCACTAGAATTACAATTATTGTTCCCCTAAAGTTTTACCTGATAACACCGAATGTGAACTATTTTAACACTATCACTCAGGAAGGAATTCATAGGAATAGTGTGTGCTTTAGCAAGCAGTTTTTACAAAAACCTAAGAGTTCTGCAAATCTTTAGGCACTTCATTAGCTACAGTCATCAAATAATGTCCAAATTGAATTATAATTATAACTCAAATTTTACTACTGGTAATACTAAACTTAAGATAGGTACAGCTTAATCGTTTATACTTACGATTGTCATGGGACTAAAATGCATGTCATGAATAGGCCCGAAATATTAAATACATAGTATTTTACAAAAACTCCAGGATATATTTAATTTTAAATTTTCAAACAAGTAAATATCTAACAATAATTTTACATCAATTTACTATTGGCATTTCAGTGAACTTTGTTCAGGCTTACTTGTATCTACATCACATTTCACATTTCTTAGTAACAAAGTTAAATGTTCTGTTCAACAAAAACTATATTTTGTTAAATTTTATGCTACTAAAACGGAACTTCAGTGTACCTAATATTCATAAATTAAAACAGTGTTTATTATTTAATTATAAGTTAATAATATAAATTTGCTAAATGAACAAATTCTATCCCATATTTTGTTCTCTATTTATTTTTTTTTATCTCAGTCAAGCATTTCTTGTAGTAACTTAGACTACATTAAAGAACTAATTTAATATTATTTTTTATATTTTAAGGTAAGAATAAGAACATGATTTAACTGTTATGTGCCGTGCCATAATACTCAGACACTGCTGTTTTAAATGACAATGGTGTAAATTTGAATTTATAAACTTCTATTAGTTAGTAAATGAATGAAAGGGGTGCACAATGCACATTCAAATAAATAGCAGACAATGTGCTGGCAAATTAAATGTTCTCAAGACAACTACTACAATGTGGATTAAAACTAAAGCAAAAAATAATTTGTTAAATAAATTGTAACTATGATGTTTATACATATCCAATAGTATGAGACTTTTGAGTTACTTTTGTCATTTAAAAATGTATTGTCCCCGTATTTGTAGGGTAACTATGAATTATAAAACCATGTACACTTTAGTTACACTAGAAACGTCACTAGATAGATCTTTAGTTTACTCTTAATTTATTACTAAACTAAGTTACACTCTAAAAAAAAAAATATTTCAAATTTGTTCCATATAGCAAAAACAATGTCATATAATTAAATCACAGAATCATTACATTTCACAATTAGAGAGCAATCTATATATAACAAAACAGTGAATCCTAAGTAAAAAGCGAATGTTAATACTAATAGTAAAAATACTGTTACAAGTTGTACTTGCCCTTAACCAGTTTGATTAGGCCTTTGTTGTGTTAATATATAATTCAAAGGACTAATACAACAAATTATTAAATTTCATAATGAGATTGGAAGGAGTATAAACCTGATACATTGTAAGAACGAGACTTATCACTTGGTGAGAGCCTAGTGTTTGGACCGCTTGGCGTGGCCTTCGATGGATATAAAACACTTGTCCTGCATGTTCTCCTCAACATAGTTGCCACTACGTTTGCGAGTAGGAGAGTTGGAGGGCGACTTTTGTTTTAAAATTTCGACATCGTTCAAAATCACCTGAGTGCCGCCACTGCAAGTGGGGACAACGTCACCCTGTAAAACAACCAAGATTAGTAAACTGGGAGTCAGTGTCTCTCGAGCCATCCCTGTCTGACTCGGCACATTGTTTTTAAGATAAGGAATTTTTGCAATGAAGTTCGCACATACAGGAGCCCAGGTAACTTGAACACACAACACATCAACACTGAGGCACTTTGATGAGTCAGGCCGTCTCGCCAGGTGCATAATAACATCCTTCGAGGATAACTGTTCCTTACGCAAGGGAAAGAGCAATAGGGCTAGTTGGTGGAGTCTTGCATCTCTTAGGAGGAGAGAGAGAGGGCCCATTTCAGGTGAGCTAAGAAAACTAATAACTGGGATCTATATCATAACGTTCTCACAGAGTATAATCTAACCATTCAGGACAAATGGCCAAAAGGCTCTCATGGAATAACGTTTGTAGCTACTATTGACTGTGTCAGTTGGTTTGTTGCAACTGCTGGTAAATGTGTCAGTTCAGTCCATAAGCTTAAAAGATTATCAATCTCTGGTTCATTTAACTCTTTCACTGTCAACTGATTCGACGTTTTATGCTTTTTTACCTTTCAGTGAAGCTGAGACTGTATGAAAACTGTTATCTTTGCAATTTATATTATTGTTTGTTTTGAGGAAAATTGAGGAATCAATAAGTTTACTTTTATGTTTTGCACTTTTTACACGCTAGGCCTATATGATTTTTGGTTAAAAACCATACGGGTAAACTTTTTTGCGAATTTCCCATATAGGAATACGCTGTTTTAGTAGTGTCAGGAAGAGCATATGTGTAGGAGCTTATTGAGAAATCTAAAGCTTGTTACCCACAGGCTTAGGTTTAAATTATTTTTTAGAAGATCACAAGCTTACCTGAATGAGTCCACTCTGGAAACACAACACTTTACACTTACAGACCTACACACAGGTAGCTTTCCCTAACTGAACAGAACAAAGGAAAAACAAAGAAAATGTTTACTGATATCTCCTGTACCTTATAAAGGCAGGTCTCGAGATCCCCGTCACTGTCCTGCTCCTGTGTCATCAGACAATACTTCTCCTTGTTGTTGAGATCACTTGGGTCAGTCAGACGTGTAATACTCTTGCGGCGAGGCAGACGAGGTTGCAGTACAGTGTTGAGAGGTACAGGAGCACGAGGTCTGTGTTCCAGCCACCTCTCCTCTCCTACTGACCTGGACCTGGAATGTAATCATGGTATAATTGATGCCATATTAAATTACTACGAGGTAAGTGTACCATGACTTTCTTCATTCGTATCAAAATTATAAAAATATATATTTAAACAATATAGGCTAGGCTAGATCAGGTTAGGTTAGGCTAGGTTACGAGTATTTTAGACCTTCCGCTACTCGTCCAAATTGCAAACTGTATGCCGTTGGTCTCATTAGACCTTCCAGGATTTAAACCCTCAGCAATTGACCTCAATTTTCTGGCCGAGTCAGTATGAGATTGACTGAAAAATAAAGTGATAATCAGGGTCAAAAGAAAAAAAAATTTCACAGCATATTCTGTGAATATTCAATCTTCAGTATATTTTTGTATCTAATAGTGATGAACATCTGATTCATGAATAAAAAAAATATAATCTATATATTATACTGTAAAATGAATGTTCTCTGATTTTACATAGCCTATTTTTTTCTCTTTTACAAAGAGTATATTGATAGCTGACACATTTTTGACTTTAAGCAAAAACTGATCACACAAGAATAATTTCAAACCCGAAAGAAACTTTAAAATGTTGAAATTATTAAGACGAAAATAAAACATTACTAAATGGTTCCTAAACCAACAGGATCTTAGTATTTTCATACAGATTCCATTTTGTTTACTGCCATGAACAGATTTATTGAATCTAGAGCTATTTATCAGTGCGAAGTATGAGACTAACCTGCGGAAGCGTGGGTTGCTGACTGCTGGTGTTCTGGTGTGAGTCGCAGGAGCTGGAGTGTTGTACATAGCAGCCTGTAAAACACATATCAATAGGATAAACATAAATAGAACTGATACATCTATTACAACCTTTAAATGTATTTATTTCAGTTCTATTTAGAAATAAGTTTTATTCGTACCTAAAAGTTTAAAATTCAAGGACTGACATTCGGCGTATTTCTACCTTATTGTAAACAAATTCTTATTGTAAACACGTTCTGAAATGTGGTTCATGAAACTAATACCAATCCAGTTCCAGTACTGTAACCTACAGGGGGTAGTCAATTTAGAGCACTACTAAAAATAAAGAGATTACTAAAAATAGGCTATCAAGAGTAGAAAATCAAAGTACCAACTGTGGGGCCTTCTTTAAATCCACCCAAGCAATTTGAACCCTTGCTTTGTCTAAAATATCTCTTGCCAGACAGAGGAAACTTGGTGAACTAATAGTACATATTGTTTTGTTTGACGTACCCGTTTGCGGACCGTGACACTGGAAGGGGTAGTGATACAGTCAGTTGAGGGTGTTCGTATATTGTATGCACTGGGAGTGTCCAGTGACCGAGGAGTGGGAGTGTTCAAAGACTCGTCTGACAAGATACGCTTCACCTGCTGCAACTTGCGATCTTTGCTCTTCATCTCCATCTGTAAAGATAAATCAGAGTTTGACTTCATCTTGATCTCAAGTACGTACAGACAGTCTGTGATCTCACATTAAGTGCTGGATGACTCGACAGTTTTGTAAGATTATTCAATTCTTGTTTGTATAAATCAGTAGCTAACGATGAATTGGATTGGTTAAGCCATTTTATATCTAGAGAAAATTATGTAGGATGTCTACTATTGATTTAAGTCAAACTGATAGTCCCACAGTGATTAAATCGAAATGATTCCCACTAAACCAGCCCCAAGGAATAAAATTCTGAAGTTTTTTTTATACAAAATGTATCTAAACTAGAGGTTCAATAGGGAAATCTCACCATTGTCAAATAAAAACATATGTGATATTTAGTGATGGGTTGGTACTTCTAGTCAAATGTCGGTTCTGCGGAACCGAGAACCGATGGTGAAATGTCGGTACCAAAACCCGTCACCGATAATACCGGAAAATTACCGATATTGCCGCCATTGCAGACGACGACAATGACGTTAGCGCAATCCCGGGAGATGATGATAATGTCAACACAATCCGTCGGTGGCTCACATCAACGTCCATTTTTATATTTTTTTTAAATTGAGACAACTTTAGCATGAGAAATGAATGTCCAGGTGTATCAATATTCAATGTTAAAGGTATTAGACTATGCTATAAGCAAACCCAAAATATTAATCCTGTAAGAACCCTTCCTGTTACACACGTGTCAGGTTGTCAACAGTCAATTATATTTTACCTCCTTCTCATTATTTCAGTAGCCTACCCAGTTCCCATCTTACCTCTATCTTCCTCTTGTGATCAGTCAGTTTCTTGTCCATTTGCTGGTTGAGTTTCTCAGCAGTCTGTGCAATCTTGGACTGATACCTCTGTTTTTCCCTCTCCCTGTCCTGAAGTCTTTTGTTAAGAGCTGCGTCTTTCTCGTGAAGCTGGTTGTTAAAAATCATGCAATGGTGGTTAGTTAAGCAGACGGACAAAGTTTGCAATGTTGAAAATTAAGAAGCAGAAATGTAAGTTATTTGCAGTTAGTTTGCAAACTTATTTATTTATTTTAGTTCTTTTAAAAGATTCTAAAACTCAATTAATTATAGAAATTAGGTTTAGATTACGTTTGTTGTGATTGATTAATAATAAATAGTTTTACCAGGGCTACACGGGGACTACAACACAAAGGACTGCTAACAGATTCAAGAAATACGGAGTTTCAATAGCCTACAGGACTCAGAACACCATGAGTAAAATACTGCATCCAAAAATAGAAGATTGTAACAAATTTGACACTTCGGGCATCTATAAAATCAATTGTAACGATTGTGATAGCTTCTACATTGGACAGACTGTGAACTTCGTAAACCGCTTCAAAAACCACATATCTGCGTGGAGGAACAACAAACCGGAAAGATCAAATGTCGCACAACACCTGTTACAAAATGGGCACTCACTAGGAAAAATGGAGGATAGTCTAGATATTTTAAAGAATTGTAAGAAAGGATATGTAATGAATGCTTGGGAGGAATTGTATATTTATAAGGAAAAATGTAAAGATAGAAATAAGTTGATTAATGAACAAATACATTTTGATTCCAGTTGTACTTATAAAAATGTATTGGCCGGTGCTTCCGGTAGCCAATAGGGTATAAGTAGGGACGCCATTCAAGATTCTTGTCATTCGCCTATTGGGTCTGATGATGATTGGAGTGTCCAATCGAAATCGATCACCACTTACCATCGTTTTTGTATATTTACCGTCTTGTGAGTAACAGTATAAGCGTAAATATATGTTTTAAGTGTTATAAGACGTTTCTTTTATTTACTTTCCGTAAATTTAATAACACGTACAATGCTGATCAAGAAGTTATTTGCTGATCAAGAAGTTATTTAATAAATAGTGCAGTGGAATGCATGTATTCAATTATTTATAAACATTCATGAATATGTAGGCTTACTTTTAAATAAAGTACCGGTACCTAATATATGTTGATATTTCCTGAGCACTGCACGGGTAAAAACAACATGATTTTATTTTATTTTTACTCTCATTAACGGTGTCCATCCACTAGTGGTGAGTCAAACCTGTTATTGAAAAAAGTTTTTTGTTCAAAAATTCAAGTCAAAAGTTCAAAATTTGATAAGCATGTTTCGAGATTCAAAACCAAGATTTTATGGAAAAAAAGTTTGAGTTAAAAAGGTTTGCTTAAAGTGTGTTAAACATGTTATTAATGTAATTATGTCAAGACCAAGTGAGGAGTCCATTTGATTTCTTTCAATTTTGATTGCATAGTAAATAAACATTTTATTACTACCTGTATTTTTTGTAACCCAAGGCCTACCAGACAAGTAAAAGTTTTGCGTTAAGTTTTGAGATTTGAAATTTAGGATTAAATTTTTTGTGTTTGCTGTTTTGAGATTTGAAATTTCTGGTTTTGAAAATCACAAGTAGAACTTATTAAACACATAATCAGGCTGATCATTTTCTAGAAATAAGGTCCTGTCCAAGGTTTAAAACTCTTTGCATAAAACCCTCATGATTGACCTAAACAGTCTTTACCAATTTAACTACGAGGCAGAATCCCGTTTATCTGAAAACAATGCTAAGACACTTAGTACTAGCAGAAACGAGGCATATCCTACAACTCATGATGTATTCTAACTGATAAAAGTTTAAACAAAAATGTAAAGAACTCACATCCTCTTGCAATCTCTTGATGACCCTCTCATAACCAGAGTTTTGCTTCTTCAGTGAGGCAAGTTCCACTTCCTTCTTGACAAGTTGTGATTCCAGATTGGCAACCTATAACCAAACAAGCACTTTAAGCTGTAGGCTCTAACCAGGAATATTTCCGTTTATTGCCCTAATAACTGTAGGGAGACTAAATCAATTGTACAGCAGAACCCCGGTTAACCGAAATAAAGGGGGGAGAGCCATTTTGGATAACCAATTTATCCAGGAGTATAGTATATTACCACGGCGAGTTGGAAAAATGAATTAAAAACAATGTCAATATAATAGGGCCTACAGTATTTTATTTCAGCTACAGAAATGTGTTACAATTGTTTAGAAAATACCTTAAACCAAACAACAGAAGTTACTAAAGCATTTTACATTACATATTACCTATATTTTAGCCCCTGTATTATTTTATAGAACCGTTTCGGTTAACCGGGGTTCTACTGTATATAGAAATTATTCATATTATTTGATACTAGCAGAGTGTCCTTTGTACGGGGTTGGCGTATAAGTATAAAATGATTATTGCAGTTGAGATAAGAATAGGCCTATATGTTAATCAGAAATGTGAGCTATCATCATGGCAAATTTCAGTCCAATTCTAATAGTAGCTAATGTGTGACTGAACCCCAAACAAACACACAAATCTGACCAGTGTGTGCAGAGCCATAAAAACCATCCAAGTTACACACACAATAACGGAAACCCCTATACAAATCCTTAATGGTGTCAAACAAGAATTACTCCAGAGATCAGGTAATGTAATGTTACTTATGTACACCATTTTATATTAATACAGTAAACTAGAGATATGCTAATTAATTCATGCAATTAAAATTGGGCATACACTTCATTGATGACACAAACAAAATAATTTTAATTCCAAGGACTTAAAAATATGAATAGCTAAGGAAAGGCCAATTGGCTGATTAGGATTGTTATGTACAATGATAGGGATCAGCTAGCTTACCTAATAGACTAGAGTCCAGATTAACCTAGGTACACACATAAAACACATAACACAACACAGAAAAACTTTACATTTTGTCACAGTTAGGGACTTCATCATTGCCAAGTTGGCAACACTGTTGTGGAACTTTTGAATTTGAACTTTAACTGCCAGTCTTCTTTCTTCTCCCTTCTGATGAAGTCCCTAACTGGGACGAAATATTAAGTTTTTCTGTGTTGTGTTATGTGTGTACCTAAGTTAATCTGGACTCTTGTCTACCAGGTAAGCTAGCTGATCCCTATCATTGTACATAACAATCTTAAAAAGATGAATGTAATTGATGGAAAAACTCAACGCCTAAAAGTTATTAAGTCAATCTCACCTTTTCTTTGTAAGTTCCAACTTCGGAGGAGAGTAAACTGCTTTTATGAGTAAGTATCAATAACTCTTCCTCACTCTTCATCAGCACGTCACGGAAATCCATTACTACGAACAATTTGATGAAATTACACTAGCATGATGTTGGTTGGCCAGTCATAAAAAAAAACATGAAGTTTTGAAATGCAGTCTAGCTAGAACTATTGATAAGACAGGGAGCTAATGAGTTGGAAAATACTATCAGCTTCAGCTGTTCCATAAGCATGACAAATCTACTAAAGGAGTACGTTTTATCTGTGGTTTGAGTCAGTGCAAAAGACTATTAAGTTTAGGACATACAAACAAACAGGTTGAAGATACAAAGCTCTTGACAATATAGCTAAATAAAACATACTAAAGTGGTAATGTACATAGTAGTTGCAATACCTAGCTTTAGGTTTTTGGAGGAAAAAGCACTTGGCTTAGGAATAGATAGGTCTATTAAGGAAGGAGGAATGGATACACAGCTAACTTCCCTAAGAAAAAAGTTCCAGGTAGTTGAAAGCATAAAGAATGTTCACAACACGACGAACTTGATATTTCCTACCTACCAGGGCTCCTTCTGAAAAAACCCTTGGTAGAGACGAAATATCAAGTTTTTTGTGTTGAGAACATTCTTTGTGCTTTCAACTGACTGGAACTCTTTTCTCGGTAAAGCTGTGAATCCATTTCTTCTTCTTTAACGGATACCTAGCCTTAGAAGTTCCTTTGGACAAGATTTTAGAATATAATAATTCTTGTCTTCAGGATTGTTACAACTATTAAGTAGCATCCCTTTTTTGTTGCTAATATATTGCCTACTATAATATTTTCAGGGCCTTAAAGCTCCATTTCCAAAATTTAAAAGTTCAAAAAACTTTCAAAAACACATTTTAGTCATCAGAAACATTTAAGCATATTATCACTTAAAACGATACAAATAAGTTCAAATACCAAAACAAGTTCACGAAAGATTAAGACCTAACTCAGAAAACTCACATGGTAATCTATACAACAAAATTACATAACTTAACACACTTATGTTTCGTTTTTGTCCTAGTACAGTATAGGAATTTTTTGAAAACTTATGAGAAAAAAATGGTGAATGATAAAATATTTTCTCACCAATCTACTTTCTTATAAGTCCTACACTGGGACCAAACATCAGTGTATCAGTGTGTAACATTGTTTGCCCATTTCTACCTGTAAACCCCTGGACCTAAATGTATTTAGTTGTAGGCCTACTAGTCTGACTAGATTTCTTTCGTAAAAATTTCTGCTTGCCCATTTTTTCAAACTTATACAGTGCCTAAATTACTTTATTAAAGTTATGAAATGTGTAAAGCTGTATTATCCTACCATACATGTTATAATTCAAACTGTACCCAACACAATACCTTTGGTTTCAAGTTCGACGTCCATCTTTTTCTTTCTTGCTATTTCAACTTCCAGGAATGTCATCAGGTTCTTTAACAGTCGGTCGTCCTCGGGCCCCACCAGGCAGAGGTCAGGGAACTGGGAGGCTAGGCTAACAACAAAAACAAACTTCAAGCGATAAAGAACCGGCAGGAGGCACTGAAAACATCAGACAGTGATAAATAAATAACAGTGCCTGCAAATACAGAGTTATGACAGAACTAGTAGCTAGTAGCTGTGCCTGCTTGGAGAACTGCAAGAAACATTAGATTTAAAGATTTCTTAGATTTGCTGCTATAGGTAAGGTAAAAAATGTTTTTGTTGGCCAAATAATATAGGGTGAAATAAATAAATTTGCCAAATTTGATTAACATCCATAAAAATGAGCAAACTACAACAGTTTATTTAATTTCCAAAATAATTAATAACATGGGAATTTTAAATATACATTTTTTTAAATTTTCTCCGTAACCAATAATGAAAAAAAAAAAACACTTCAACATACTAAATTATTTTTTTAAGCTCTTCAAAACTGTTTGGAAAGAAGTGGGAAAATTTTATGTTTTGAAAACAAATTCTCACGCCATAAAACCCTGTTCCCTTGGTCCGATCAAGCAAAATGTTGTTATCATTGGATTTAATTTTAGATTTAGATAAGAGATACAGTTTAAAATAGAGTTTAAAAACCTTGTTCAGAGAACAAATAGGTTCCAACATTATGTTTACGCTTAATTGCAACTCAACACAAACTTGAACTTTTTTATGTTAAGTGTCACGTGGTTCATAAAAATATGGCCTTCAAAATTTATTTAAATTGATTTCTTATGGATAAATAATAGAAATCAAAGATGACAAACCTGTAGACAGCATTCACACCCACATCAATAGGAATGTTCTCGTTGTTGGCTTCATTTAGATTAGCCATTGCACGTTTGAAAATCTGAAAAAAAACATATAATTATATATAACATATTTTTAAGGTTGTATAAAATGTTTTCACCCAGTGTTACAGATATTTTTTACATTACAGCAGCAAGTTTGCAAAATACAAGTTTTGGTGTGCATGTTACAGTTTTACATTAAAGGCAAAGGTGTTTTATTTTATTTTTTCTTATTTAAGATTTTTAGAACTATTTATGTTCTTGTAAGCTTTTGTAATTTTGTAAACTCTTATTGTATCAACTTTTGTAATAAATAATTAGGTATTGTACAATACATTAGGTGTTGTGTTAATAGTGTTTTATTATTATTTATCAACCATTGTGAAACTGCCCAAACGAATAATTCCTGATAGTAAAAAAAGATCAACAATCTCGACTTGAACTTAAAATCCAGTCTTGTCCATCCCTTAGCAGGAGTAATGGAGGTGGTATTATGTGATGCCTTTGACACTTTAGTTATTACATAGAGGTTTAGTATATCTAATTTCTAGGCAAGGTAAACTCCAAACAAAGGTGTGTGCTATAAAGTATTAAGTGGCGAGTGTCTCTGTGGTCAACATACCTGGTTTGCCCTTCGTCGGCCAGCTGGCAAGTTGTCAATATTCCGCAGAGGTGTCGGCTTGACCACTTGCACTTCCTGGCTCATCTCAGAGAACTTCATCACGTGAATGTTCTCGTCATAGTCGTCTGATCTAGGGTTGACACACACGATGACACGTACGATGCACTCTCCGTCAAAGAAGTTCTTGAACAGATGAGTCAGCTTGGAGTCTCTGTATGGTACCAGCTTGTTTGTGCCATTGGCTTGGTTCTCTCGTAATATCTCCAGGCAAGTGCGTAGAGTCATCAATGAGTTGTTAATGTTTCCTAAAAACAAACAATTACTTGGTATCTCATTTTAAAATTTCAACAATAAAACTATATTTGCAACAAATATTCAGATGAGAAATTACACCTTACCAAATTCTTTAGCAATGATGTTGACTTTTTGTTGGAAAGGAATTCTATGGTTTCAGATTTGACACTATTGCCCAAGCACACTGCGTTAAATGGCAAATGAATAAAATGTATATCTGATAAGTCTTAAGTTTTGGTTTTTGTGAAAGACCATTGGATTGGTAACTGAGTGAGATGGAAGGTCAATAGATTTGACGGTCAAACTATCACTTGTGGAAAAATAAGCTATTCGTACACCGGATGGCTGCCAAATGCTGATGTATTATAGATCTTTTGGAGGCCCCTTTCCATTTTCTAACAAGTGAGATCAACAGTTTGTCTTATCTTAAGTCTTTAGGATTGTACCAATGAAGTGACCATTGTTGAACCCAAGACAATATAGAGATAATATAGAGATATAAACCAAATAATGACCTGCCAGAAGTATTATTTGCATACAACCAATAGAAGCTTTCATAAAAGATGTCTCGGTTTGCATGAGAATATTGATTTTAACTACAACAAGATACTGGTTTCTGCTACTTACAGCACAATCAATGTAATGTGTTGTGTGTGTTGCTGTGTATATAATGGTTTAGTAATATAGATAGTTTTGCCTCACAGCTCCAATAACACACAATAGTGTTCTTAGTAAGTTTTGTATGGCCATACAGGCAAAGCTGTCTCGATGTGAAAGTTATGTTCATCATGAAATTTTTTTTCCTGTCAGTATTCACATTAATTTGGCTAACACTATTTAAGGATGAGTTTTAATTAAAAAAAACACACACTCACATTTAAAACGCCATGCAAGAAAATAAGAATAAAACTTTTATAGCAGTAAGAGGATAAAGAAACAAGCGATGCAATAATGACTAATGGATTCAATTGACAATTTTTTAAGACTTGGTTTGTAGGTGAGGTCATTAATTCAGTTAGATAAGTAGCCTATGTTTGAGCATCACTCAAAACAGGTAAATGTGAGAAAAGTAGGGTAACCTTGAAAACACTGCTCGTTGATATTGGTGCGCTCAAACATAGGAAATAGAGCAGAACTTTAGTCTGTTACTTTTATTTTGGTATTTTTTATGTGTTTGTGTGTGAATTGGACGTGTGGTGACAAGGACTGCATTTCCCTTATTTCAACAAGGTGACAATCACTTATATGTCAAGGTATATACTTTTATGTTACTGGACACAAATGTTACATACAAACTTCTCCGATCGATAACATATTTTACGGTTTAGCAAAAAAGAAAAGATCTCAAGAAAACTAAAAGTTGGAAAACATTTTTGGCTTGTATTCCACAAATTTCATGTCACTTACCAGCCTCCCTGAGCCGCTGCCCTGTGGTGTTGGTTCGGTTCATGCGCTCACTGCCAGCCAGGTCCACAAAAGACAGCTGACTGACATTGATCCTACGCTTGTCCTGCATCACAGTCTCCCCACACGCGTCCAGCGGCGCCTGGACCACCCGCACAGTGAACACCGAGTGACTGCGGCTAGACTCGGCATTCAGCGTATTGTGTGCCATTCGCCGCCGCCGCAGGCCCTTGTTGAACACCTCAAAAGCTTCATCTGTGCTCTTCACCTCCACCTCTGTAACCCCGTGGACATACATGTTTTTGGCTCCGTCTTCCCGGACCAATTTGCTCTGTGGACCTCTGCAAAACGCAATCCATAATGAATACCAAACTAGTCCCTATATTCACACATGTCATTCTAGGAACACAGTGAGATATCTTGCATCATCCCCCATGCCCTGGACTAAAGTAGCTTTTTTAGAGCGCTGGGCACTTAAGTCATGCACAAATTTTCCAGCATTCAAAATACGATACATTTTGATAGTAAAAGGTTAAGCATGCATCAAGGCTCTTGCTAATTCAATTAGGCCGTTTCATTTATAATAACTTCTTAAGTTCTTAATCAGAATGGTTTGTTTTATTATACATTGAATCTAAGTCAAAATGGTTGTTCAATTACACTTAAAAGATATATTTAAGCTTATACTGTACACTACTACAAGAAGGTAATTATGTAGGCCTAAATAAGACGGTAAATAGTATTGTATTGATTGGACACTCCAATCATCATCAACACCAACAGGCAAACATTAATTATTTCCTTAATGAAACATGTTTTATGAACATTTGCCAATCGGGCAGGATAATGATGTGGGGATTCAATCAAAATTAGTCACCACTGTTATAATTACAGTCTCGTAGTGAAAAATGAAGTATTACTAGATAATATATTTTTATTTAAATACCGTTTAATATTTCAAAACTATAGAAACCCCCTATAACAACCAAACATGAGGTTCTGTACAGCCATACTCGGCTTTCCCTATTAATTCCAGTTCAGGCAAGGGTCCCTTCAAATGAGATAAAGTATACTGTAGGCCTACTTTACATTCATTTACCTGCAAAGGTCAAAAAATTATCAGTAGGCTAAAGAGTCTGTAAACAAAATGTTGCAACGAACCTGCCCCTAGAGAATTCTTCAAAGTTATCATCCAAAAGATCAAATACAGAATTGTTGTAGATCTCGATGTAAGTTACAAACACAGCGTACATGTTGTCTTCATGAACATCTTCTATTTTAACCTCCTCTGCAATCCTATTGGCCCACTCACTCTCCTGTCTGAAACACAATAAAAAGGATATGTATAAAACACAATCTGAAGAATCCAGCTAGTGCATGTAGCTTAGGAAGTTAGACCAACAATAACTTATAGCTTAGTAGAGTTGTGTTTATTTATTTTTTTAATCAACATTGATCATGAGTGAAACAATGAAGCTTATTTTGTATACATTTTTACATGCTACAAGCATGCTATCAAGGATTGTCTGTTGGGAGAGAAGGGGTATTACCAAAAACAAGTAGGTATGCAGGGAATGTATTTACCTATGTCAATGATAAATGGGCAAATGATCATGGGTTTCGTTTCTTTTCCCTATAAAATTAAACATAACTCCTTAGTTCACTTGTACGCTGCAACGAGGCTCCTCTTTACTTACTGGCATCATTTGTGAACAGGATGACTGAACACAAATTACAGCTCTGTAGCGCTGTGAAATTGTTCAAGGGTCAAAAATGGGAAAACCCAATTGAATTTTTACTCCATAAAACTCACAATTAAACCTCTTTCCAATAGTCAGATCATGCTGGTTCAAGAACTTGTTTGGATATGTAGGATTACATGTTTGTACTAAATTTAATCAGATAATTTTTACTCAAGTTATCGTGCTAATGGACATTAATAGGCCTATATATGTGTGTGAACAAATATTCTAAAGGGGTGGTGTTTTTGGCCTCTGGGGATATCAAAATGAAAAAGAAAATTGTTCTCGAGTCTAAGTCTTATCATGAGACCTACGGTAATAGCCCTTATAGCCTATGGCGAATTCACTGTAACTTAGTTACCTAGTCTCCGTGTTACCTCCTAACTTAAGTTATATGGAAATGTCCCTAAAATATAGTGTTCTGTTATGCAGGGGATAGGAAAGTCTTTTTTGACATTCAAAGTTAGCCAAACTTTGGCCAAGACTTAACACTTTAAAACCTGATCTCGAGTAGGAGCCTATAGCTCGGGGTGTTTCTTCGTTGAATATCACCTGCATGCTTAGAGCGTAGGCTGAGACTGGCATGGTAGCTCAATTGGCTAAGGTGTTACAATGAGGAGTGTAGCGTTGAGGAACCTTTCTACATGGGCAGGTTCAAATCGTGAGTTCTACACAATCTGTGAGTTTTTCAATGAACTATGTCCACTCTTGGGGTACCCAACACAGAACCATTACCGCCAGTTTTTTTGCTGCTGTCAAGACTGAAATATTTTAACGCCTATTGCATTCGCTGATTCACAGGCGCGCCGAGGCTGCGTCGCCTTTTCCAACCGCCCCACCAATGGGAATCTCGCAACGAACTTGTTAAGTAATAATGCCAAATTAGAACTACCAACCATTATATAGGCCTGTTACTTAGTAGGCCTATAACAATTATGTACCTATTAAATTTCCTTGGAGTTTTAGATGACAACACTTGTGAATGGATTTCATTGATGCCATCCATTTTTGCGTCCTCATCACTTTGGACCTCAAAACCGTTGAGTCTGTCAGGTTTGAACACATACTTCTTGGCTTGTAGATGGCCAATGCTGTTGAAAATTGCATCCAATGCTCTGGGCATGATACCTGATTCTCTTGGTGTTCCAGTCATAGTGAATGTTTTACCACTGCCTGGAAAATAAATATCATTGTATCAATTTAGAAGGAGTGAATCTAACTCGATGCACTGACAAGTGTTTAAATCATGTCAAAAGCCTTAAATTTCTCAACAATTATTATGATTGTATAGGCTACTGTTTCGTTATATGGGAAATAAATTCATTTATTTCAAAAACTGAAAATTTCCTAGTTAGAGGTCACAAGTAACAAATAATATTATGAGGTGGGTAAGAACTGTAGATATATTAATGCATAGTTTAGTTAAAATAATCTAACACTGTGACTGACATGTGCTATGACCTGGATTTGAAAACTCTAGAAATAATAAACAAACCCTTGAGAGCTACAGCTAGTCTAAACACGGAAAACAAACTATTAGGCCTAGCCTTCTTAGAAGATGTTGTTAACTTTAAACTCAACTTACCGGTGATTCCATAAGTGAACAACAGTCCATTTTTACCATGTAAGACTCCATCAACCAAAGGAAGAGCAACATTGTTGAAAACTGTCTTTTGAGGGGCATCACTATCAAAAACGTAGCTAAAAGTGTACTGTGTTTCTTTGACATAACCATTTTGATAGTTTACAGCATTTTCAGGCGGTGACATCTGAACTGTACACGGAGACACAACTTTAAGGCAAGGTACCTCATTGTCATTCAGCGGTCTCAAACGGCAATACACCTGGATTGGTTCTTTAATGGTAGGCATCATTGATTTAAGCTGTTTTACTGAAAACAAAACAAAAAATAGGCTCTAACTTTAAATCTTCAACACCAACTTGATTGTTTAGCTTAGTGTAGGCCTATAATAAACTGGGTAGCTGGGCCATTCTTCAGAAAAGGACAGATTACGGTCACCAAGGAATAATAAATAAAAATTAAGATAATAAATACATAATTTGTTGTTAAATATGAAGGTAAAAGTTTTTTTATACTTAATGTAAAGAAGAAAAAAATCTAAATGAAATTTAATGAACATTTTATGTCCACAGAAGGTGACATATCACTTCTGTGGACAGTCACCCCCTCTAGGTTTAGCTTAAGATTAGCTGATTTTACTAACAAATTTGAAATAAAAATTATTAAACCCAATTGCTGTTGGCTATCTAGACATTGAATATAATATTTGTTTGTTTATTTTACTCTTTCCATTCTATTAAAGGTAAAAAAAAAACAAAGAAACTCGGTCACCAAAGCCTGCATCACTCCTATGGACAGTTCCAGAAAAATCCACCAGGCAGCACTGGCCAACTTTCACTATTTATTTTACAGAGAAGAAGTAACCATCTTGAACATAGAATCAGTTTGGTTGTGTTTGGTTCAGTTATTAGTTGTTTATATCAAGTGAAACTAGAATTTTAATTGCTCGTCGAGCTAACATAGTCACTTCTGTTACCACATTTTAAAGGCAATTATGCATGTCAATTAAACCTAATACTCTAATTTACAGTAGTTTATGTGTTTCTCTACAAAAATAAGAGCAAACATTGTTCCTAACCTATTTGCTTGACTCTATGTTAGGCATAAAATGCTAAATCATCACTTCTGTGGACACTAGCAGTTACCCGGCGCGTGTTGCTGCGCTTAACAACTATTATTTTAAATGACAATTAAACCTAATACACTAATTGATGTTAGTTTATGTGATCCTCTAGAGCGAACATTGTTCCTAACCTATTTGCTAGACTCTTTAGGCATAAAATGCTAAATCATCACTTCTGTGGACATCACTTCTGTGGACACCTAGCAGTTACCCGGCGCGCGTTGCTGCACTTAACAACTATTATTTTAAATGGCAATTAAACCTAATACTAATTTACAGTAGTTTATGTGTTTCTCTACAAAAATAAGAGCAAACATTCTTCCTAACCTATTTGCTAGAATCTATGTTTGTTTTTTAACTTTATTTGTAAAATTTGCAGTTGCGATAATCACTTCTGTGGACTTATTGTCACTTCCATGGACATGCTAGTTTTTAAATACTAAAAATCTGGGAAAGTGATTTTTATTTAGTGTGACCATTGCAATGGGTAAATATTAAAAAGAGTCATACATTAAAATATCTAAAATAAAAAAATATTAATATTAAATTGAAATCTGTCCTTTTCCAAAGAATGGCCCAGCTCAGTGGTTTTAGTGCTTGCCTGGTACCTAGGCCTTAAATCAAAAGGATGCCTGGTCCAATCCTGAAAAAATTTCAAGCTTTTTGATGGTTCCAAGCTAAATTCAGCTGTATTTAATGGGCTTTCAATCAATGGTCCTGACTAATGAAACAGCTGGTCCTAAGTCAATAACAAAGCCACAACACAAGGAAGGCATGACACACCATTCTACACTCACCCTTCACTCATATTTAGGTTAAAATACACACATAGGTAGTGTTCCGATCTTAAACTGTAATAATAATAATAGTTTATCTTAGGCTATTAACATTGGGTTTATTAACAAGCAACAAAGAAATTCTTACCTTTTGTCAAATAAAAAAGGGTGGAAAGTAAGTTTGAGTATGTTTGAAGCACAAAATGATAGGTAGGCATAGCTCAAGCAATCCAGAATGCAGGATACATTTACACTTTTAGGCTATTTTTAGTAACTTAGGCCTCGGCTAACTTACACATACACACATGATACATGATCTCTCCGTCCATAGTCCTTTGCCTTTTGTTAAGCTCTGAATTTCAAGTAATTTTTTCAGTGGGGCCTGGTACAATTTCATTCCCGTGTAATCTGGTTTGTGTTCAAATTTTGTGAGTTTAAGTTGGACTGCATGTGTGCCCTTTGTTCGTGTGTTGTAAGTGTGATTTGTAAAAGTTGGTTTAATGTTCTGTGATTTTATATAGCAAGCTGATTCATAGATATAAAGTGAAGGGACTGTGAGAAAGCCAAGTTCTTTAAAAACATTTTTGCAGCTCGTCCGAGGCGGCATGCCCAAGATTGCTCTTATTGCCATGTTCTGCCAAACAAAGATCTGATCAATATTCTTCTTCACAGAGCCCATAGGATGATTGAATACAAAATGTGTTGTTCTATTAGGCCAAAATACACAAGTTTAGAGAGAGCCAGGTTTCCGAAGGTCCTTATTCTTCGAAGTACAAAGACCCCTCGAGCCGTTGACCCCTCCAGTTTTTTTATTTGTGCATCCCAGCTCAATTTATCGTCCAATCTCACTCCCAAAAAGTCGGCAGTTTTTGAAATTTGAATTTGATCCTCTCCAATTAATAGGTTACGGAGTCCTATTATTTTTTAAATTTTGTCTTTTTGCAGTTTGGATACACATGTATCCTGTTTTTTGTGAATTTAATTTGAGTTTGTTTGAGGAAAAAAAGTCAGCCAGATCATTTGCTCTTTGATTAGATTCTGCCTCCAGGGCCGCGTCGTCAGTCCCCCTTACGAACAACGTTGTATCATCTGCAAAGAGGTAGACGCTGTCCTGCTGAACAGTATCTGTTATGTCGTTGATGTAGACCAAGAAAAGGAGAGGTCCAAGGACAGATCCCTGGGAGACGCCAATTGAGATAAGTTTTTTTGTTGATGAAATTCTTTCAGTTTTTGAATTTGTGTTTTTTTGAATCTCAGTGACTTGGAATCGGTTGCTCATATAGGATGTGAGCCACTTCAGCGCAAGTCCTGAGATTCCAATTGATGCCAATTTTTCCAATAGAATCGCAGGTTCGACACAATCGAAGGCTTTGGAGAGATCAGCAAAACAACCAACTACTGTTTCTCCAGCCTCCATTGCGTCTATACTGCTGTTGATGAAATCAATGAGTGCAAATTTTGTTGATTTGTTGCGTCTAAAACCATACTGTCTGTCACACAATATGTTATTTTTTCCAAGAAGTTGCTAAAGTTGCTCCGAAACAACTTTCTCAATCAATTTTGAAACAACTGGTAGGAGAGAGATTGGGCGATAATTCCCCGGGTCAGTTTTGTCTGACTTTTTTAAAAATTGGTTATATTTTTGCAGTTTTGCAATTCTGAGGGAAAATTCCAGATGTCAGTGAAAAATTGACTATGTGGGTAAGAGGAACTGCCACTTCCTCCCTACAATATTTACAATATTTGGACATGCATACTGATTCCATTTACACCACTAGAGTGTTTAGATGGAAGCTTTGAGAACAAATCCAGAAGGTAAGCAGATGTAATCAAATGAAATTCAAGTCCAAGTTCAGCAGTGCCATTCCTCCTAAAACCAGATAAGGCATGGGTTTCCTGATCCTTGTTGACAAGCTTCGAAACAGTAACAAAATAGTCATTTAAGGTTTCACACACATCTATAGGATTTTCTATTTTGTTACTGTCAATATTCAGTATAATATTATTAGAGTCTGAATTTTCTTTTGGCCTAATGCTGTTTTTATAATCTTCCAAGAGTCTATAGATTTATTTTTTGAGCTGGATATGCAATTGTGTGCCCATTTTATTTTACTTTCCTGTATTTTGTTTTTATATTTATCTTTAAAGCTTTAGGTATAATTCTTTGTCAGATACCATTCCTGTCAGCCTCCATACAGAGTATTGTTGGAACATTTTTCCTTTGCAGCTATTATCTCATTGTTCAATCCATTTGTTTTTTCCTTTGCGACTGAGATTAAGTTTTGTTTTTTTATTCGGGCAGCTGATATCAAAATAATATTTGAATGTTTCTATAAAGCTATTATATTTGGTATTAATATCAGGAGCATCATATACTGAGTTCCAGTCCTCTGACTGTAGCCTTATTTTAAGTTCATGAAGATTTTCATTGGTAATTATTCTTTTTTCTAAGGTTTTATTTTGGTTTGAGATATTATTTCGGTTTGAGATAATTTCAGGTAGGCCTATTTCTATTGAGATAGCACAGTGGTCTGAAATATGGGGTTCTTTTACTGCTGCTGATAATATTTCAAAGTTGGTTAAAAAATTGTCTATGCATGTGCTGGTTGTGTCGTTAATTCTAGTTGGTTCCAAAATGTTTGGTTTCATATCAAAACTTTTAATCAGCGTTGCAAATCTGTGGTAGGTGTTGTCATCTTTGATCAAGTCGATATTGAAATCTGAGCCTATTACAGTAGCCTACTATACGCCTATATTTATTCTTAATGTTCAGTTTAAGTAGTTATTCATTTAATTTACTAAAGTATTCATCAAGGTTGCTGCTGTATGGAGACCTGTACATGGAAGCTACTTACTACAAACTGTTTATTTCTCACAGGAAAACTTATTTCAGCACACTCAAAAATTGTTTCTTTTAGAAATTTTATGCCTATGTCTGTGGACTTAAGGTTATCGAGTTTTATGAAATTTTTATTTTTGAAAATTGCTACAACCACCCATGTTTTTATATTCTCTGCCATAACCAGCAATAAATTCAAATTTTTTATTCTTAATTCTGATAAGCTATTTTGGTCTAGACCATGTTCATTAATAAGAAATAAATCTGGGTTTTCTGATTCTAAAAAATGTTCGATTTGTTCAATTTTATTTGTGATTCCCCTTACACTCAAATGAGTTATATTAAAATTGTTTTTCTGTGTGAACCTTATTCTGTTCTTATGATCAAAGTGTTTTCTGTTTCGGTTGCCGGTTGCAAGTTTTTTGTTATGATTTTAGAGGTTTCGGTTGCCAATTGTGAGATTTTTTTAATTTCAGAAGTGTTGGCTGTCAATTGTGAGTCATTTGTGATTGGAGAGGTTTCAGCAGTAGATTGTAAGTTTTTTGTAATTTCAGAAGGCTTAGGTAAATCAGGCTTCCTCATTAGAGTTTTTGGTTTCAAATTCAAATCGATTGAAGTCAGGTAGGCTAGATTATACTGCACATAGTTTCTGTCCCAAGCTTATTTAGGTGCATTCCGCTTTTTGTGTAGCAATTGCGATCAATCATTGAGTTTAGGCTTAGGTAGGCTACCTTGTTCCTGACACAAAATTCTCTAATCAGGGTATTTTGTTTCTTTATATTTTCATTTGGGACAGTTTTTGATATCAAGGTGGGTGTTTCAACAAGGATCAGGTTTTTTGGTTGGATCAGAGTTTGTTCTATTTCAGCAAACACCTGTTTTACATTATTAATGGACTGAGCCATTACATTGTTAGTTCCACCAACCACAACACAGGTGTCCTTCGGTGTCATATCCTTAAACTCCTTTTTAGCTGAAACCAACACCGCGGCCATGGGTGCTCCGAGCAGCACGATAGCCTGAGCTTGACTACCGCACCCCCCTTTGCAGCCCATGTGTCTCAACTCTTCCCCACAGTGTCTCGCATGGCTGTCTCCAACAATTACTAACCGTGGCTTTTTTTGCCTACTAATGAGTTTAGTAGGCTTCTTAACTAGGGCCACACGCTTTTTAGGCATAACACTAGTTGGAGACTTTTTGTTGTGTGCTCCTGCAGCCGTCTGCGACCCCTCCCCGCCCACACCTCAAATGAATTAGGGGTAGTCAGAGAGTGACCAGGAGCAGCCACAGCCGGTTCCCTACATCCCTTCCTCCTACTTACCACATCCGACCAGCTATTTTCACTTGGTTTAGAATTCAAGAGATTGTCACTGAGCTCAAAAAAATTAGTTTCTTTCAGATTTAGCTGTTCCTCAAGTTCCCTCTTTTCCTTCAAGAGTGACTCAGCCAAGTCACAAGCTTTCTTAGGCTACTCATTTTTTATAACCTCATAAGGAAGTGGATTGTTACCTTTCTTGTGTAACCTAATACAAACTAGACACACATAGGAATCTTTGCTAGAAATTAGCCTAAAAATAGATTTTTTCAAACGGCTACAAGCTAACTTATGTCAGAATGTACCCAAGCATCACAAATGTCGCAAGCTATGGAGCTGCTTTTGTCATCTAAAATTATTTTGTTGCAGACTTTGCAGGAATCCTGCTTAGACTTGTTTGGAGTTGGTGTTTTATGAGGTATTTTATGTGTTTTAGAAGTTGGTGTTTTAGGAGCCAACCCCCCCCCCCCCCTTAAATGCAATGAGTGGGCTGAAATCCAATAAGGTAAAACTTAAGCTCTTGTCTTTGCTTCTTCTCTTTAAGTACTGGTACCTATTAACTTAACTTAATTGCTACCTATTACCCCTTGTTGCTTTGTCAATTTAACTCTATCAGACTAAATAGACCTAGGCCTAACTTACCAAGTTATCATTGAAGCTTGGTTTGTATTCTCAACTTTTAATTTCCCAGCATGAAATGGATTTAGGCTACTTAGCTTTGTGATTTGACTTTAAAAAATTGCCCTCTGCTATGACTTAATAATTGGCCAGTTTCAAAATTAAATTCTATAAAAAATATCAGTTCTTTAACCAATTAGGCTTTTTTAAATTTAACTAGGCCTACGCTTTAAGTTAACTTTAACTAAGTTAGGCCTAGGCCTACATTGTACAAGACTACTCTACTCAACTTACCTGTGGTTTTCTTTCATTAGAAGTGGTATGTAGGGAAACAAAGATAAGCTGAATGCTCAGGTAAATTAATGGGCCTAGTTGAATGTTTGAGTCCCTCTGAACAGTCGAACGGTTCCTCTTCCTCAGATCAGGAATCAGGATCAGATCTTATTATATTTCCGTTCGCCAAATTCACTGGCCCAAAACAAAACCTGCAAAGATACGAGTTAACTCAACTGTGAGTGAGTAGCCTAAGTTTAAGTTAGTAAGTTAACTCACACGATTTTTCTTGATCTCCTACTTTCTCGTTTCTTTTTCTTATCTCATTCTCTTCTTTCTTAAGCATTATAGCCACGGCCGCCTTTATGTATGTCCCTCATATATGTATGTAAACAAACATAAACATAAACAAACAAAATTAAACAGTTTGTTTAAAAATATTTGAAATTGAAATAATTGGTCTGAAACGATCGTTGTGGTTGGTTGTTTGGTTTGGACTTAGTTGGTTTGGTTTAGTGGAGTGGAGTGGTTAGTTATTGGGTGTGGAGTGGAGTGAGTGAGCAGTTTTATTCTCTTGTTTGCTTAAGGAGGCAGGCTTTTTTTACTTTCTCCCCCTATACCATAGTATATGGAGAAAGTATTGTTTTCGTCAAAATTTTCGAGTTTGAGTTTTGAGTGGATATATTCGTTTTGGGTCCCCCTGGACCCAAAAAAGTGGTTTTCGAAGTGATGTCTGTGTGTGTGTGTGTGTGTGTGTGTGTGGGTGTGTGTGTGTGTGTGTCTGTGTGTCTGGATGTGTACAGAGCTAGGGACTACACCTGTGGTCCGATTTCGATGAAATTTGGTATGTAGGTTCTAATCCATGGTATCTCCAGGTGTTTTTTCATTTTTTTGAAATTTTGATTTTTAATGAGGATTTTCCCATAAAAACCCATAAAAAACCGGAAAATCGAATTTTCTCAAAAATTGCCCGAACGATTTTGATACAAATTTGGTATGTTATAGTCCTTTATATTCTAAACAAAATGGTACAAATCCCATTTCTGTAAAAATTACGGTTCAAAAGTTATTGTATATTATGTTATTTTCCCATAAAAAAAACCCATAAAATAACGGAAAAATCGGATTTTCACAAAACTGGCCCAAAACGATTTTGATAAACATTTTGTATGTAGCCTAGTCCTTTAAATTCTTAACAAGATTATACTAATCCCAATTCCGTATATTTACTCTCACCGCTTACAAAATATGATAAAGGTTGTTGACAAACTTATGGGAGAAAGTATGTGTCAGAATGCTGATACCGTTTATTTATATGCAGTATCGATGTGTAGTATCGCGGCCGTGGTAGGGTACGATGCCATAGCTTATAATTGCGAACATGTTGCATAGCTTATAATCTTGAAAATGTGGCATAGCTTATAATGGAAAATTTAAATTGTTCCATAGCTTATAATCGTAGAAATGTGGCATAGCTTATAACGGTTTTCTTAAAATGTGGCATAACTTATAATGGTATAGCTCAAATGTGCTGCAGCTTATAAAATATCGTTTGTTCTATAGCTTATAATTTTAAAAACGTGGCATAGCTTATAACGCGCAGGAATTACGTCATAGCGGATGGGACAGCTGATCGATCCTGAGTAGACAAAAAAATTATCGTGCAATGGTCCTCAAATTATCGTATGGACTAGCAGCCGCTACTCGGCAATAAGAAGTTGCGTTAAGTGCAGCCGACGTAGCAAAACCAAAAGTATTTCAATTTTTTTTTACTCCTGGACGACATATGTAATAGATGTAGCCTATATATGAAATGGTTTTTTGTTGAATAATAGAATAACTTTTTGTATCTGCTGTTTTACTTTAATTACGTAAGCTGAAATATATTATCATAAGCTTGATGTTGCTCGTGTTGCTTATTTATGCATGATAACTATTGTATAATATTTATTTTGTAATATTGTGTAATACCGGTGTAAAAATACTTTTTCATAGATAAAACCGTAGACTATGCAACATAAGTAGACTTCTCATCCCATTGTTGATTTTGAAGCTTGTTTTTCGTGTCTAGTTCATGTATGTCGACACTGATTGCTAGTGTAAACGAAATATTGTTTCTATTATATTAGGGCAATTTTAAGATTTGTGCTTTACGGTTTGGTTAGATAACTAGGAGACCAGTTATTTTTTATGATTATATAGTTTTATTTGGTTAAATTACGTTTTAAATATGTAAAGAAAAATAAAAAGATTCTCTAACTTCTACTTTTTATATATTTAAATATTGTATTTAAATATATTTAGTATTTACTCCTTGCAATGCTCTCAAAATGAATTCTTTACAAATTTTGGTTGTCCCTAGGTTGGAAGAACTTGGAAAGTAATAATATAAAACAGAGCTTTGGCAGTGGAAGCTTGGTGTTAAAAAATATTTGAGTGGGCCCTGTAAAATAAAAAATACTCCCCAGAGATCCTTATGGGACGTCCTTGGTACTGTTTGAAGTTCTTCCAGAATGCAATACCTTTTGTAAATAATATTTACTAATCTTAACTCTACACTGAATTTAATCTGCTCACTACCACACTAGTATTTAGTGTTGCACTTAAAAGGTGAATCTTTTGTAGTGGCCTATGATTAACTGAATTACCTTTATTCCAATAGTTAAATAATATTGCTAACAATGAATTACCAAGGTTATAGAGAACTAGAAAGTGAGTAATAATTTGATTTATTAAACAGAATTAACGAACTACAATTGGTTTCAATTTACAGTTGCTGGTTGTGGTTTATTTAACAAAATGACCTTGAGTGACACAATCAATTTGAAGTTTTTGTTTGAGAATGTTGAATGGATTTATCAAAAGGGAAGATACGGTACGGTTTCACACTGATCTCGAAAGTGTCAACGGAAGAGTGGTATTTAATTTAATGTTGAGATGACCAGTACCAAGCAAATCCAGTTCGTTGGCCAACGATTCAAAAACGAAGGTCGAGTCTCGCAGTCCAACTGATTAAACAATATTGTGCTTAATCGTAGTAGTATTTATTAGAATGTTGCTTATTGTTTTATGGCTAATTTGGTACTTTGGCGGTTCATCTATACGCAAACTGACACAGCCTCCGATAACACCTCCGTATCTAGCCGAACCAGCTACACGCTCCCTCCTTTGATATTAATTTAATTCCCCCAAATTAAATACTGACTGTGGTACTCGTTAATGAATTGTACCTTAATACTCAACAATGAAATTCGATAATGACTCTGTGAGAAAATTCCAACACTATAAAAATCTTATGAAACTCTGAATTACCCTACAAAAACATTTTCGTCTATTTATTCTTAATACTATTGGATCATCACAGCTTAGTAAATAATACAGATTGTTACACTATAAATGGATATAAAAATCAGCAAATTGAATTCGAACCTGGAAACATGTGATTATTTGACATGAACTAACAAAATATAACAGGAAAATTTACCATGTGCGACTCACTGAATTCTAATATTAACAAATAAATAACACAAATTACTTACAATTTCGGACGTCCACAATAAACACTGACACAAATTGAAGGATAGGGATGAGGAATTGTAACTAGCCGGTTTTCTAATAAAAAACGCGATCGATTTAAACTCGTGTGACGAACGTGAAATTTCCAAATGGCAGATTGCGTTGGCCGGTAAAACAAACTTTTTGACACTTGTTTGACAAACAAAACTGATTCTATTTTCCACTCGCGTTGCAAATATATCCCTTCGGGATATAGGCTATACGATTTCGAGAAAATGAAAATTTATCCGACCAACACCGCGAAATGAATTTAATTTGCACGAACGAAAGTTTCACCGACTAGGTACGTTGGAGACGGGAGAGGAACAGAACAGACACAGAGACTCTCGTTGCTGGCGACTAGTTCGGTATTTACTCAGGGGAGGTATAGAAGAGGCTACGATGACAGCTGTGGGCTTCTTATTAGCTGAGGGAACGCCATTACCGTAACAAAACGATCGGTAGCCATCGGCCTCGGTGGTCTAATGGTTAGTGTGCCGGGCTGATATACTGTAGGTCCCGGGTTTGAATCCTGCTGGCAGCATTAACTTTTGGTCCAAGATTTTTTTATTATCAGCAAGTTTGGTTGGTTGTTTCGGTTATTACAGTTTAATATTATTATTAAGTCATTACAAAATTTTAATTGAGCAAATTCTAGTTTTATTTAATAAACAGAATTATTTTTCCGATTACTAAACTTTTGTTATATTATTTCTTTATCAGCAAGTTTGGTTAGTTCGGTTAGGTTATGATAGTTTAATTTTATAATTAAAAAATAATAAAATTGAATTTGAGACATTTATAATTTTATTTTATGAACAGAACTATTTTTGCGATTAGTAAACCTTCATTGCCAAAGTGCTCTCTACTACAGCGCTGTTCACGGAGGAATTTTGAACTAAATGCCTCATTCGTACCTCCCCTAAGTAAGACCCGACTAGTTCAACCCCTACCACTTTTGGTTAGAATTGTGGGTATCTGATCAGCTGACTATTTGTCGCGTCTGCTACGCATTCGTTGTTTTATACGACGAATCGGTACAAATAACTGAAATAACAATCAAGAAACATATTGTAAAAAAATACACAACCTCTACAGTCGGCAAGAATATCAATAAAATTGCCTTCAGCTTTTCAACAAGGATGACAAATCTTCTAAGGGGCTTAATGTTTGATCTATGATCAAAACATATTTAGTAGATTTGTCATACATGGAACAGCTTAAGCCCAAATTTTAGTTTTATTTCTGTACGGTGCAATGTAGATTATAGAGGTCATGTTTTGTTTATAATTTGTTTCTTATTATTTCACTGTTTACGCCTTCATTTAGCCAAATAAAACGATCTTCTAATGTAGCGGTCAGTTTCACAGGACAAGAACTAAAGTAGACACAAAAACCGAGATTTAAAACTTACAAATTTACAGTCAGAATTCTGTGTTTAAATTTAGAATTATCTAGCAGGTGTTCAGCATGTGACCTCTGTTAAGCTCTTGGGTATTTGCATTGTAGTACAGGCAAAATCATACTAAAAAACCAGTAGAAAACATAAAAATTAGTCCATTCATGAAACTTTCAGGAAACGTAGTAAATACCATTAGGTATTGGAATCTGAAGAGTCCCTAGTGATTGTGGGGGTGGAAGTACCATTTTATGGGGTTTTAAGTTCATGGGGGTAGTGATTTTGAGAAAATTTTTATCTATGGGATCCAAGCAAGTGGGGTGTCGTTTTCTATGTTTCTTAGGATGCAGAATCGAAAAAGAACATAATAAAAGCAATAAAACCGACAGTTTATCAGAAAAAGACTAATTTATTAATAAAAAAACTAAATATGACAAATTAATTAAGGTAAAGTAATCCAGTTAATTAATA